TGTTATGGCCTATGTTAAAAATTTTTAAAAGTAGGTCAAACTCAAAGGTCAAGGTCAATGCCAAAATCGTTGGTATCCAAAGGAATGTCTTGTCCCAAGGAATATTCATGTGAAGTATGAAAGCCCTAATACCAACTGTTCAAAACTTATGGCCAAGGTTAAAGTTTTTCAAAAGTGGGTCAAACTTTAAGGTCAAGGTCAAAGGATCAGAGTTGTTGGTATCTAAAGGAAGGTCTTGTCACAGGGAATGCATATGTGAAATATGAAAACCCTAGCAACAACTGTTTAAAAGTTATGGCCAATTTCGTTAATGTTTTTCAAAAATAGGTCAAACTCCAAGGTCAAAGGGTCAAAGTTGTTGGTATCTAAAGGAAAGTCTTCTCACAAGGAATGCATATGTGAAGTATGAAAATCATAGCTCGAACTGCTCAAAAGCTATGGCCAAAGTTAAAATTTTTCAAAGGTCAAAGTTGTTGGTATGCAAAGAAATGTCTTGTCACAAGGAGTACATTTGCAAAGAATGAAAGACCTAGCTCAAACTGTTCAGAAGATATGGCCAAGGTTAAAGTTTTTTCAACAGTAGGTCAAACTCCAAGTTCAAGGTGAAAGAGTCAAAGATGATGGTATCCAAAGAAAGGCTTTTCAAAAGGAATACTCTTGTGAAGTTTGAAAGCCCAAGCTCCAAGTGTTCAAAAGTTATTGCCAAGGTTAAAGTCTCAAAAAAAATTGCAAAAGTGGGTCAAACTCCAAGGTCAAAAGGTCAAATGTGATGGTATCAAAGAAAGGTCTTGTCATAAGGAATACACATGTGAAATATGAAAGCCATAGCTCCAACCAATCAAAAGTTGTGGGCAATGTTAAAGTTTTTGCGGACAAACAGACAGACAGACAGATGGACGGACAGGGCAAAAACTATATGCCCCCGAATCTTCGATTACGGGGGCATAAAAACACTGCTCAAATCAATAGGGCACTAGAGAAGCAAAATGTAAACAAGCTGTGACTACCATAACAAGATGTGTTTGTGAAACACTGATGTCCCCGTATGGCAACTTATAGCAAAGGTTAAACTTTCTCAAAAGCAAATCAAATATGTTGGTACCCAAAGTAAGGTCTTGTCTCGAGGAATAAACCTGTGAAATATGAAAGCCCTAGCAACAACCATTGAATAGATATGGAAAAGGTTAAACTTTTTTCAAAGGTATGTCAAACATCAAGGTCAAGGTCAAATAGTCAAAATTAATGGTGTCCAAGGAAAGGTCTTCTCTCAAGAAATACACAATATGAAAGCCGAAGCACCAATCGTTCAAAAGTTATGACCAAGGTTAAAGTTTTCCAAAAGTAGGTCAAACTCCAAGTTCAAAGGGTCAAAGTTGTTGGTATCCAAGAAAGGTCTTGTCACAAGGATTAGATATGTGAAGTATGAAAGCCCTAGCACCAACCGTTTAAAAGTTATGGCCAAGGTAAAAGTTTTTATAAAGTAGGTCAAACTCCAAGTCAAGGTCAAAGGGTCGAAGTTGTTGGTATCCAAAGAAAGGTCTTGTCACATGGATTACATATGTCTTATCACATGGATTACATATGTGAAGTATGAAAGCCCTTGCACCAACCGTTCAAAAGTTATGGCCAAGGTTAAAGTTTTTTCAAAAGTAGGTCAAACCCCTAGGTCAAGGTCAAGAGGTCAAAGTTATTGGTATCCAAAGGAAGGCCTTGTCACAAGGACTACACATGTGAAGTATGAAAGCCCTAGCTCTAATTGTTCAAAAGTTATGGCCAAGGTTAAAGTTCGGTAAAGTTTTGCAAGACTGGGTCAACTTCCAAGGTCAAGGTCAAAAGGTCAAATATGGTAGTACCCAAAGAAAGGTCTTGTCAAAAGGAATACACATGTGAAATATGAAAACCATAGCTCCAACCAATCAAAAGTTATGGGCAATGTTAAAGTTTTTGCGGACAAACAGACAAACAGATGGACTGGCAGGGCAAAACTATATACCCCCGAATCTTCGAGACGGGGGCATAAAAAGAGAAGCAATACATAGACAAGCTGGGGCTATCATAAAAACACTGCTTAAGACAGTAGGGAACTGGAGAAGCAATATGTAGACAAGCTGGAGATATAAAACATTGCCCAAAACGATACAGCACTAGAGAAGCAATATGTAGACAACCTGGATATATAATAAAACACTGCCTGCTCAAAACAATAGAGCACTAGAGAAGCAATATGTATACAAGTTGGGGCTATCATAAACACTGCTCAAAACAATAGAGCACTAGATGAGCAATATGTAAACAAGCTGAGGCTATCATAAACCTTACTGAAAACAATAGGGCACTAGAGAAGCAATATGAAGACAAGCTGGGGCTACCATTAAAACACTGCTCAAAACAATAGGACACTAGAGAAGCAATATTTAGACAAGATGGGGCTATCATTAAAACACTGTTCGAAACAATAGGTCACTACAGAAGCAATACGTGAACAAGCTGGAGATATCATAAAAAACACTGCTCAAAACAATAGAGCACTATAGAAGCAACTACTTAGATAAACTGGGGCTATCATAAACCTTGCTGAAAACAATAGGGCACAAGAGAAGCAATATAAAGACAAGCTGGGGCTATCATTAAAACACTGCTCAAAACAATAGGGCACTAGAGAAGCAATATTTAGACAAGCTGGGGCTATCATAAACACTGCTCAAAACAATAGAGCACTATAGATGAGCAATATGTAGACAAGCTAGGGCTATCATAAACACTGTTCAAAACAATAGGACATTTTAGAAGCAAAACATAAAAAGCTGAAGATATCATAAAAACAATGCTTAAAACAATAGAGCACTATAGAAGCAATACTTAGACAAACTGGGGCTATCATAAACCTTGCTGAAAACAATAGAGCACTAGAGAAGCAATATTTATACAACCTGGATATATAATAAAACACTGCTCAAAACAATAGAGCACTAGAGAAGCAACTACTTAGATAAACTGGGGCTATCATAAACCTTGCTGAAAACAATAGGGCACCAGAGAAGCAATATGTAGACAAGTTGGGACTAAAATTAAAACACTGCTCAAAACAATAGGGTACAAGAGAAGCAATATGTTAACAAGCTGGGGCTATCATAAAAGCACTTCTCAAAACAATAGAGCACTAGAGAAGCAATACTTAGACAAGCTGAGGTTATTTTATAAACGATCGAAACAGGAGGGCGCTGAAGAGACAAGAAGTAGACAACTTAAAGATATCATGATAATATTATTGTCTGTTCAAAGCAAGTAACCAAAACTCGAGAGACATCAAGTAGGCAAACTAGAGATTCTATGAAAACATTGTCTAAAATAAGGGGGCACTAAGGAGGCATACATTAAGTAGTCAAATTAGACGTATCTGTCATGTTAAGATGTGTTCTATCCCTTTTCCATTATATAAACTAACAGAGAGTAGTATATTCTATTTTGTTCTTTTCTATCTTATTGACCCTACAAGTCTGACTACATGTTCTTTTTCCTAATTAATTAAGTTGCATTCCATAAAAATTCATTGCAAATCCTTGACCGGTATGTGTGTCTTTCTAAAAGAAACAAAACAAATTCGAGCTTCCTATCTTTTGCACAGACCCACCAGGCGCGGATCCAGGAATTTTTTCCAGGGGGGGGGGGGTTCCATCCCAGTCAAAAAGAAATTTCTAACCCAAAAATTTCTTCTTGACAAGCAAAAACAAAAAAAACGTAAAATCCATTTTCCAAACGCGAAAAGCGCCTATTTCGTGGTGGTGATGGTGGGGTCCACGTTTTCTAGAGGGGGGGGGGGGGGGTCCAAAGTCATTTTTTATTTTGTTTCAGTATGGAATATTTATTCAACCAATTTGGGCCCACAGTAAAGCATAAAGATGAACAATGTCCGAAATCGTAGTCATAAAGGATATTTATTCTGAATATAATTCTGATAATAGAATTGCTTGACGTACGTGTGCTCATCTCCTCTCCCCTCCCCACCTCTCTCTCTCTCTCTCTCTCTCGTACATGCATACTAATTTCGATTCATAAATATACATACAACTCTACGATTCGCAGTAAATATCCACATGTATATCTGTTACTTTGCGTATATACCAGGACCAGAGAAGGTTTTGCTTCTTAATTTTTGGTGCAGACGTCTATATCCGCTATATATACATGTATATTGTTTAAAAAGTCACAAATTAATTCCTTCGTCGATGATAAACAATAAATAAACAGTTTGTTTACCTTTACAAGAGTGTTCAATTTCCCCCCCCCCCCCAAAAAAAACCTTTTAGCTTGAAGCGAGAAAGAATAATTGAGAAAAAGGCACCCCACCCATCCACCCAAAGGAAAACAAATACAAATATGTACAGGTAATTTTTTTCTGACTTCAATGAAACAAGAAAAGAAATATAACGATATTCTAGAATTGTGTATACACGTTTTTTTGTTTGTTTGTGTTTTGTTTTGTTTTTGTTTGTTTGTTTGTTTGTTTTTTTTTTTTTGTTTTGTTTTGTTTTGTTTTGTTTTGTTTTTTTTTGGAATGCAATTTTTAGAATTTCACCAAAATTAGAAATTGATTAACTCTCCTTTGTCATTTTTTTTTTAAAAAAATCACTATTTGATGGTACCTGGCATATTTAAATCTCTTACAGAGGAATAGAAGCGATAATTTAAATAAAGAAACACAGAATGTGACGCAGAACTTCAAAGATGTCCACAATGGCAGGAATCTTTGTTCAGTGTCAAGTGGTAAACTTTTCATCTTGAATAAGATAGATTGTAGGGGAGTTTACATAAAAAATTAGGACTATAAGATCCCAGTCCCTGGTCTTCTTCCTGTCAAACATCGCTCGAATGGTGCTGATTATCGTTTTTGACTATGGGGTGCTTTTCGGATTTTTAAATTCTGCAGTTATCCATTCAGTTTGTTATACACCATTAATATTGACCAATGAACGTCTAAGATACCAGTGATTGCGAGCCGACACATTTCTGAAAATATTTCATTTAAAAAAATATATATTTGACGGGAACTAGGTATTTAGTGCTATATTAGTCAACAAGGTACTGGTTGTTTTTCTTTAAGATTCCTTTAATCAAAACAGAGAAAGGATTAGAAGATTTATGATAAAGTCTCATGATTTTTTCTGTAGTGGGACTAATTTGAGTAAAAGAGAAGCCCTCACCGGGTCCATAGGACATCATTTAAACGATACAGTAGAACGTTTTATCAAGGTTAATAGTAAATAACCAAATTTAAAATCATATAAAGTCACATCTGTAATTGCCTTTCCTTTAGCAGTTTAGTACATAACTTGCAGTTCTAAAGAAAACACTGCAACGTAATAGTTTAAGCTTTCTTCCATTTTTGTCTTTTGAATTAATATGGACATTACATTATATACATTTCTTTCTCCAGTAACCAATCATGACAGACACTCTGACTGCTATAAGTGAGAACACCAAAATGGCGAGGGAGACAGCCCTATTTGGACAATATGACACATCACTCGTCTACTATCAGGGGGTCATTCAAGACATTCAGAAGTACCTGTCTGCCATCAAAGACCCAGACAGACGAAGAAAATGGATGCAGGTACTGAACCAATGCACATTTAGTATGTATCCACCAAAGAGAAAAATGTGAGTGGACCAGAATTGAAACCTGGGTCCCCTGAATCATAAGTCAGGTGGTCTACCAACTGTGTTATCTGGCCACCATTGATCGACCTTGCCAGATCACTACATTCCTCCCTAAATCCCTCTCTAAAGGTCTTTGTCCCCTGAAGACACTTATCCAGATTCTTCTCAGCTCAGACAGGTTTGTCACCTGTCACTTCCAGGGCATAGTATGACACCACATGTAACCAGCAAAGAGAACATTGCAATGGACCAGATCAGGATTCAAACCTGGGCCCCCTGTATACTAGTAAGGTGCTCTACAAACAGAGCAATGTGGCCACTGGCAATTTAACTTGCCAGACTGCCACTTATATATATACAATTTTTATACATTGTTTACATTATTATGTATTTTTATAAAGGTTTTGAAGTGTAGAAGTCCCATAAATAAAGCTTCCTGCAGCTGCATAGCTGCTGTTAATGCATTCTTGTTCACAGGCTCCATACTCACAAAATTCCAGCCTCCAATAATGAGATAGATAGATACATTAGGTTTTGATAAAATATTGTTTTTCTCTGAACAGGCCAGAGAAATGATATCCTCTGAGTGCGACCAAGTAAAGGAGATTTGTTCCACACTGTCGAGCTTCAAGACAACAAACACCAGACCACCAGCCTACAATTATGACAACCAGGAAATCGGATCTCCTTACGGAAATTTCGGTAGAAACGATTATTCCAGACATGAGGAGCCAACCAGAGACCCTGATGTGTGGCCACCACCAACCCCCGTGGAACACAGGTAGGTCTTTACTCTCTCACAGGATCAGTGATTGGTTGATGCAGGTTTATCATGCAGAGATTCTTTATCAATCTACTGCAAATTTATTGTTGCCCATCTAGTTAGAAACTGTATTATCTAATTTCCATTGACAGACCAAAGAAAAAATTTTAAAAATTGAGTGTAATGATATCATTTTGGAGGGAAAAAAAACAACTAGTTCTTAGATTTATAAAGAGTACCTCTGTATTTATTTTATGACATTTGTACATGATTTTACAGACCAGGCCCTAATATACGAGCAGCCAGGAAACCGGAGCCAAGCAGAAACCGCCAAGCACCTAGCCGTCCTGGTTATGGGGACAGGAGAGGGCCAAGTCAGCCAAGTGGTCGGGGTAGAGGGGGAGGGGCTGGTCAAAAAGACAACAAGAAAAAGGTATGTAAATGTACAATAAAAAAAATCATTATCTCAAAGTCAATATGACAAACTTCAAACTATAAAATATCAAAGGATTCAAACTATTGGAGTTAAAATACTTTTAAAGAAAAACTCGTATCAATTTTATTCGACATATTGGTGTGCAATATACTGAAGTTTAACTATAATATCAAATTTACAAATGGGAAAAATCATGTTGTTATAGTGTCACATACACTAAATTGATTCTGAATAAGTTTTCATGAAATCTTTTTTTTTTTTTTTTTCATTTAAGAGTACAAAGTATAATGCTCAATATTTTTTAAGAGGATGGGGTGTGATATGCTTTCAAGTGGTAGTATTCATTATTGTGTCAAGCTCGTACCAGAAGCATATGCTAGGACAGGGTACAAGTACATACAAAAGGGTAGAACTAATGATATCAAATATATTTGGTGAAAATTTACTTTCTCATCTTTTTTTACATGCCATGTATTTCATATTAATTTAGCAAGACGATGGAGAAAAGAAGTTTGATCCTACTGGATATGATAAAGATCTGGTGGAAAATTTGGAAAGAGACATTGTACAGAAAAATCCTAATGTCAGCTGGTAAGATCGAATAGCTTATACATTATGTTGAGGTAAAGGGGAAAAAAGATATAAGTAAGAATATAAGATTGAAATTTAATGGCAGTAATTTACCTGGTTGTTCAACCAGTAAGCTTAAGGCATAACTTTCACCAAGAATAATACCTTTTAAGTACTGTTTATTGTATGAATTAATTTTGTCATCTCCGAAAGTTTGTATGTTTCTTGATAAATTTTGTTCACTGGTTTCCTATGCATGTATATCATATTTGAATTCAAAAGAAACAAATGACACTATCATTGTTAGATTTGCTATTTATCCTTGACCTTGTTATTTCAGGGACAGCATAGCTGATCTGGTGGAGGCCAAGGCCCTCCTGAAAGAAGCTGTGGTACTACCTCTGGTCATCCCTGACTTCTTCAAAGGAATCAGGAGACCTTGGAGGGTAAACATTCTTTTTTTCTTTATTTGAAGAATTTTAAATTAATTAAAGATAAGAGAGATAAACAATGTACAATTTTTTAAGATTTTATCATGTGTCAGATTTTTGCAAAATTAGTGATTTGTAAACTTTTCAATTTGACTTTATTTCTCAAGGAATAAATTATTATATGTGTATTTTGTTTCTAGCACTCCTTCCAGTTTTGTAGAGCATATTTTCGCAGTTTATATCAGACATTTAAAATTGAATGCACCTGTCATAATTCAATATGGACATTAAACTTTGGTAGAGATTCTCTTGCAAAAGTGTAATAATATACCAGGAAGAAATTTTTTTTGATATAGCACTGCAATGATGGGGTGTTATTAAGTGATGAAATAGGGAGTGCTATATAACTTCTTGTCTGTAGGGAGTGTTAATGGTGGGCCCACCAGGCACAGGTAAAACCATGCTGGCCAAAGCGGTGGCGACAGAATGCGGCACTACATTTTTTAATGTCTCCTCCTCCACCCTAACCTCCAAATGGCGGGGGGAATCTGAGAAACTTGTCCGAGTTCTCTTTGAAATGGTAAGTCCCTCCCGGGCTTTATTAATCAATATTGCATGCCCTTGTTTTTTTATCTCCACCACTAGGGTGTGTTGATGGTCGGCCCTCCGGGAACTGGCAAGACCATGTTAGCTAAAGCTGTGGCTACGGAGTGTGGGACGACATTTTTTAATGTCACGTCCTCCACCCTCACCTCTAAGTACCACGGAGAATCCGAGAAACTGGTGCGGATTTTGTTTGAGATGGTATGTAGATCCTGTGAGAGTAAGGTATTGTACCCGGTTTGTAGCCACATTCTCCTCTGAATGTTTCACTCACAGCATGCTAACTAGACTAGTTGTGACAGGTCTGTTTGCCATGTGACCAGTTGTCTAGACAAGGTAAGTTATAGGTTTTACATGTGTGTCTTCCAAGAAGTGAAGTATGATTGTTGTAAAATTTCATTATTTGCCATGTTTATTGGGTGTAATGATAATCTAAATAGGATTTGAAATGATTACAAACTTGATGTTCTGCATTCCTGAGCATCGTGTCAAAACTATCACAGAGTGATAAGATAAAAGGTAAATCATTTCTGTAAAGGATACCATATTTAGTAGGTGTGTTTGTACAATGTACGACAAGGAGATTGGAGATAATTATATTTGGGTTGAATGTAGGATGTTTTATTATGGTATGCATGTACTTTAGAAATCATATTTGAAATTCATTTTATTCTCTGATATATAAAACATACTTCTGTATACCTAGTTCTTCTATGGTGTGTACTTTTTGCTCTATTAATTGTGTGAAATAAATCTGGATTAGCTTTTAAGCAGTAAACAAAATAAAGTTTGTATTTTCAATTTATTCTTTGTCAATGAGGGACATTATGTATTTGTTCCTTAGTCAACAGATGGTAATATTGATTGAAAATTTTTTACTCTATTTTAATTATTATTTCTATTAACAACATTTTCCACGTTTTAAATAATATACATGTCAAAGTCAATGCAACACATCAAAAGGAAAGATTGCTTATATAAGATACATTGATATGCATACATTTTTAAAAGAAATAATTTTTTTTTTCATATTAGTCAATGAATGCTAGATTGACTGCACATAAGTGTGCTTCATATCATGTTCATGCAAGACTTTGTTAAAAAATGGCCTCCTATGCACAGAAAGACATGTATTTGTGATTTGCACTTGCTTTCAATTCCTCTCTGCAGCTTTTTGAGTAACATTATGCTCTTTCCAATGTCTCAAAATAAACCAATTTCTTTCAATATGATATAATTCAGATATAACCTTGATATTCTGATGGCATATTCCTATTTTAGTCATTATTAATGATTAGCAAAAGCGGCAACTATGAATGATGTCCCCTATATTTCAGGCTCGATTTTACGCACCCAGTACTATATTTATTGATGAGATTGACTCAATTTGTTCCAAGAGAGGAGGGGGACAGGAACACGAGGCGAGTCGCCGAGTCAAATCAGAACTGTTGATACAAATGGATGGTATTCATTTCCTCACTCTTAAACAGTTCCTATTCGAAATTAGAATGTTTTTTTGGAAAATGGATGAAAATATGTTTTGGTTTAGTTTTTTCTTCATTTATATATGAAACAGAAGGAAAACAATTCAATTCAATTAGTTTATTTATCAATCAAGGGCCCTCATGTGGCAAAAAGAAAGTAGATTGTAAACAATCATATAGTCATATTCATGTAATACAATATACATACACACAAGAGAGAAATAGTTGCATGATTGAAAGGAAAAAGACAATCATTTGCCTTTTAGAACTTTACAAATTTTAAGTTTTTCATCACATAAAGCTTTAAGATTTCTGTGTTAAGAAAAAAATAAAATCATGAGATAATGCCTACATTTTAGAAAGTATTGAAATATAAGACTTTGACTACTATTAGGTGTATCTGCCACGCAATCTACGGATGAGGAGGGAGAAAACAAGATTGTTATGGTGCTGGCTGCCACCAACTTCCCGTGGGACCTCGATGAGGCCCTGAGGAGGCGATTGGAGAAACGAATCTACATTCCACTTCCTACAGGTCAGTCTCTCTGTCAAGGACCAAATTATTAATATTTAAGGAACTTATTTAATAGCTACCCTATAATACTGTAGAACAAGGGTTGGGGGCAGCACAAAGTGGGTTTTTAAAAAAAATGTGTAAACTGGTTAAATAACTTTGATAGCTTTTCAATTTATTCATTGTTATTTATTTTCCTTTTAAATAAGTTTTGAAAATTAGACAATTTCTCTTTCAAAGTTACTCTTAATTATACGAAATTATGATATCAAACAGATTGAATATCTTTATGATACAAGGCATATTTTAACATATGCAACACAGGTTACCTGATGTTATCTAATTTTTCTATTTAATCACGTGTCACAACCAGAATTAAATTATTGATTAATATAACTAAACATGAAATTAAATAATTTATGATAAGTCTTATAATTATTTTAAATTTAAATTATTTTTTGTGATTAATATTAACTGAATTTATACAGAAAAGGGTAGAGAAGAATTGCTGAAAATCAACTTGAAAGGAGTACAGATAGCTAAGGATGTCAATCTGGGTGAAGTAGCCAAAAATCTGAATGGTTACTCTGGGGCTGACATCACAAATGTCTGCAGGTAAGTTCACTATGCAGTGTCATTAATCAGTATTGTACAATTTAGGAACCTGTAGTGTAGAACAACAAATGTAGAGTAACTCATCTCGGCAGGCACATTAATAGAATGCTGTACATAATGTGGATATGTGATCAGTATGGATAGTATTCTGTCACTGTTCAAAATGAACCCCAAAACAAAAGCTAGTTCACTCTATGATTAATAGAACAAATCATTTCCATTAGTTATACCTTATAAACAGAGATTAATATACTACATACATGTATGTTTGCTTTTACTAATTCTGTGGAATCTGTTCCCAGAGATGCTGCCATGATGTCATTCCGTCGAAGAATTAGTGGGCTGAGTGCAGAACAAATCCGGATGATTCCCAAGGAGGAGCTGGAACTCCCCCCGACCATGGAGGACTTTAACAACGCCATCAAGAAGGTCAATAAAAGTGTGTCAAATGAGGATCTGGAGAAATACAAGAAGTGGATGGAAGAATTTGGATCTACGTGATCACAATGTTGTACACTATACGGGTCTGTGTGATAGTGCAAGTCTCTGAACACAATGTGTTTGTTATGATAAAGATTTACATTTTCTAAGGCCTTTGTTCACAAGTAGATGGCTGCTGTTTATACACCTTTTAACAGTTATCACAAATAATGTAATGTATAATTATGAGATTTATAATACAAATGCATATTTACAATATGTGCAATCTTCTGTGATTGTAGATTGAATTATAACTTTAAAAAAATCACTTTATTTTTTGAGTAATGTTTTTTTATTGTATTAAATAATTAATTAATGAATAAAATACATAAAATACTTGTATCACTTGTGATTTTGACTAAGACTGTAATTTCATTAGACTGAATGATTACCTTTTTTAGTCTTTCAAACCTTTATTGGTGTTTGATTGGCCCCTAAAATTTCTCTATAAATCACCGATTTGGTGACCATTTTAAATTGTTGATTGTCAGATTCCAGAACTATAAACATTTTCAATGATTTTTTTTTCCAAAAGGGAGAAACGAAATTTAGAAGTGGAGAATTTTTTAAGCATTGAACATGTCGTGTTTTCTTTTGAACAACATTCTTTTTTAGACATGCGAACGGAATTTCAGAGATGGCGTCGAAGATAAATTTGCCTGGCAACTAAAAATTTGCATTGGCAACTAAATTTTTTGATTAGGTTCAACTGACGCCTAAAGAAGATGGGCGTGTTTGGCGTGCGATCTGCAGGAATAAGGCGTACGAAACATTTATAGTTCAAATGTCTACAATTTGGTCGGCTGACCACAGCTGGACACACTTTACAAAGTTATGCACATGGGAAAATGTTACATTTAGTTTGAAATACTTTGTCAAATTTAATATTTAAGTCTGCTTATATTAATAATTACTACATGTAAAACTTAGTAACGCTTCACATAAATAATAAACACCTATAGGGTATAGTTAAATGCAATTACATGTATATAGTAAAGTATCAGTAGGTTGGAAGAATTGCTCTTGCTTTTGGTGCAACCAAAAGAGAATATCTATTTGAAAATAAATCAGTACATAAAATTAAATTGACAAAAGAATTGATTGTTTGTACCAAAAAAATATAAACACTCCATGTGAGGATCCAACCAAAAATATATCTTTTTTATTGCACTGGATGGGTAACGCATACTAGTGAGCTGTCACCGCTCCACACACTTTATGGTTTTTAAAGCGACAATGAAGCACCACATTTACACATTGGAAATTTTTTTTGGAAAAAGTTCATTTTTTATTGTCTCTGGGTCTTCTCTCCATTTTTTTTACAAATGCTTGTTAGTTTCTTTGAATTAAAATGCACATAAATAACGTTTCAAAATCATGGAGAGATGACCCAGAAGTAGCAAATTTTCAGAAAAACATGTTTGAAAAAGTAACATTTTGTACCAAATTACTCATCTAACCAATTTTCAAGTTCTTTTTTAGCAAATCAAAATACAATATCAGGGGAAAATATTTCCCTTTCCTTTTTCACAGGAACCAGATACATCAAAAGAATGCTAAAATTTCATGTGACAGATCAATGAAATTTTCACTTTTCAAGTGCGCCCAGATTCCTGCCGAATGCCAATCAAAAGTGCCCTCGTTCTTTTGGAAGTCATTTAGAGGCCTGTGTATTTATTTCACAGCAATACTTTTGATCAACTATGAAATCATTATTGTTCATGGGGGACAAATGTTCATGGATTTTGTGGTTCACCCTTACCCATTAATTTACATCCCCTCAAACGATAATTTTGTCAACATAATAGCTAATTGAGTCTTCTGTATATATATGACTTGCCAACAAAATTTACTGCTAGTACTTCCACAGGAACCAGTAAAATTTTTGTTGCCCATGAACATTGACCCCCACAGATTAAAATGATACCCAAGCTGTTTTTTGCTGTTTTGAATCCAAATTCATGGTACAGAGTTACACAATAGATGGTTTTCCATCAAGGTGATTTAAGCAAGAGTTATTTCTCATGGCCGCCATATTGTAGGTCAGCATCCCCAGATCCCTTCATTATTCAACCTAGTTCAATTTGTTACACTGGGCACTGAGGTGAAGATAACACAGTTTTTCTTATGAATATATGTTTGTTAAAGCTTCTTTTAATTCATAATTTCAATTTGTAAATATTTTTTCCCATATATTTTTGGCATGCATTTTTAAAATGCTCAAAGAAGAAAATTCACTACTTTGACCTGCATGTACAAGATGGCGGCCAAGGGGAATAACTCCGAGGAAAAATACGTCATAGGAAAACCATCTATTGGATATGTTGAAAGAGAGCAGCACTATGTCACTGCAAATTTGCAAATGGAAGTACTCTGTCAGTTACTCTTGTCCACTAATTTGTGCAGGTCAAAGGTTATAACCTGCCTTTCAAATTTAAGGATAAATAATGCAAACTTTTTTCCCGAAATATAGCTATTAGATTTGTGTTCATATAAGTAACGAATAACAATTGCCAAAGAAAGTGTGGATATTTTGTAATAATGTCATAAAATATGTGCCAGAATTTGAAAGATTTATGTTAAAATGCTACAAAATGAAAGAACACCAAAGAAATCCTACAATTTCTTTATCTTTTAGGAATTTTTTTATTCATAATTTTTATATGAGTTTCAGTCAAAGTGTGGAAAAAGGGAATCTTCATTTTATTTACATTCAGGCTTATCTCAAAGGGTATCCAAACTGATTATTGCTAAGCTCCAATAACTCATGATAAGTGTGAATTTACGCTTAGTGATCTCTTTGGTCACTCTTCAGCTCATTATGGGAATCCAACCCAAACAAAGTTATGGTGCATCTGTGGATACTTATTGTGATGCATGCACCAGATGCTACATCTTGTCTTTGTCGACATTTTCTGCTCCAGTAGAATGGATTTAGCCCACCATTTACGTATTTTCAGGTAAACTCAAGGGATATTCCAAGCCAGATTTGCAGATATAATGCATATGAAATACTTGTGTCATACATTACATGCTGCAACTGACCTACATTTCATGCCTAACTGACGTCTCATGTTCATCATTTAGGTCTGTTCCCAACTAAACACTAACAATATTCAAACCAGACTATAAAATATGATGCATTTTAAAGATGCTTTGTCTGATACATGCATTTGACCTACCTGTTATGCTTGAATGACTCTGGGCCTATACAGCATTTAGGCCTGTTTTAGCTTAAGCTACTACCCACAGAGTATTTTTATGCCTCTGTATCGAAGATTCAGGAAGTATATAGTTTTTGTCCTGTCTGTTTGTCAGCACAAACTTTAACATTGCCCATAACTTTTGATTGGTTGGAGCTATGGCTTTCATATTTCACTTGTGTATTCCTTTGTAACAAGACCTTTCTTTGGGTACCATCATGTTTGACCTTGACCTTGGAGTTTGTCCCAGTTTTGCAAAAATTTACCAAACTTTTACCTTGGCCATAAATTTTGAACAATTGGTGTTAGGGCCTTTCATACTTCACATGTGTAATCCTTGTGATAAGACCTTCCTCAGTCTGATTAAAATCAGATCCTTTGATCCGCTCACATAGATCGCTACACCTTGTGTAGCGATCTAAGTGAGCGGATCAAAGGATCTGATTTTAATCAGATTGAGACCTTCCTTTGAAGACCAACAACTTTGAGCCTTTGACCTTGACCTAGGAGTTTGGCCTAATTTTGAAAAACTTTAACCTTGGCCATAACTTTTGAATGGTTGGTGCTAGGGCTTTCATACTTCACATATGTAATCCTTTGACCTTGGAGTTTGACCTACTTTTGAAAAACTTTAACATTGGCCATATTTTTTGAACGATTGGTGGTACGGCTTTCATATTTCACGTGTATTTCTTTTGAGAAGGCCTTTTCTTGGGCACCATTAATTTTGACATTGACCTTGAATTATGACTTACTTTTGAAAAACTTTAACCTTTTCCGCATCTATTCAATGGATCCTGCTAGAGCTTTCATATTTCAGGTGTATTCCTTGAGGCAAGACCTTACTTTAGGTACCAATTAACATACATATTTGATTTGCATTTTAAAAGTTTAACCTTTGCTATAAGTTGCCATACGGGGGCATCAGTGTTTCACAAACACATCTTGTTTATTTGGTGTTTTTGTCTGATGTATGCAAAACGGAGTCTATCTTTCACCGCGGGTAAAGAAAACAGAATGTCTGTTCATTCCCAGTTTCTGTAATTTTTATGTTGGTATATTTCTTATCGGCTAGGGCTAGGATTACCACCCTGACTTTGCTTGTCAGGAATTTTTGGCAGGGCTCGATCTAAGATTTTTTTTATCCAGGAAGGGGGGGGTCCACATCAATCAGTCTCGGAAATTTTCTGACAATTTTATTACAATCAACCAAACAACCAACTAAAAAAAAAAATTACTAAATCAAACAAACAAACAAACAAACAATAAAACCTATCTGTAATTATAAACAAATAGCCAAAATCTGAAAATCCTATTCCCGGGGGTGGGGGAGTGGGGTTGGGGTGGGGGTGAGGGATACGAGAAGACACTTTAAATTCCTAAGTCAATTTTCTTCAGAAAGATGACTCTCCTTACCGTTTTAAGAAGGGTCCTAAAATCTTAGGGAGGTGGTGGTTCCAAGGCCAGTTTTTCGTTACTTTTACATGGAAATTTAATGTCTCTGAAAATTCCAGGGGGGGGGGGTCCGGACTCTCTCCCTCCCGATCCCCTCTAGATCCGCCCATGATTTGAAATCGGTCTTTTGTTTTTAACATTCCTTCTCCTTCCCAGCTTCAACGTTCCTTTATATTGTAGTAATATTGCTACATTCAAATATGTGTGTTGAGAATAAGACAATAGGTAATTAATACCATAAACAGTGGCAGTGAGCAGTTCATGCAGTTGGCAGTGGAAGTAAGCAGCTAGATAAGCAGTTGGCAGAAAGCATGCATTCAGTTGGCTTTCGTACTGATATATATCCATGGCATCCAAAAGTTTTTAAATTCATTTAAATTGGATTTTTTCAGATATGAAAAAAATTAATAATAATAAATTAAATGAAGTGTGGTAGAAAAATTTAGTCGAATTACGTGCAGGGTCATTATTTAGAATTAAAAAATGTAGAATATTCGCAATGATCAGTAGATCTGTATGTAATCTATTCTGGAAATGTTGAGGACACCAGAATCGAACAACCCTGAATTTACTTGATCTGCAAATACATATGTGATTAATAATAATAAATCTAGTAAATACTAAATCGTTTGGAGTTTTTTTCCTATTAAAACATTTTTTTTTAATTTTGAATGCCGTGTGCATTTGAAAATAATTATATAGGCCTAATAATGCATGATTTTGAATAAAATCTTATTGATGAATATGTGCCAAAGTATTTATTAAAGAAAGATGATATAAAGTAAGATGTTTTAATGCCTTAAATGATGCTAGATTTTTGGATAGAGAGAATTTTTTTTGGAAGGAATGAGTAATGCAAAACTCGTGACGTCACGAAAGAAAATGGCGGAGATCGCTGAATCGGAGAGCGACTACCAGCCAGGTAAATAAAGACCCCCTGTCCTGTAAATAGGTACACGTTACTCCAAACCTTTGTCACAATTCTAGAGAATGTTTTGATATTTTTATTTATTGATTTCAGCTTGCAATGTGACCCTTTTTTCACGGGTAATTTGCCCAAGAACACCGATTTTACGTCGTCTGTCACACTTTATTGTTTGTACTTGGTAAAATCTCGTGATCACTTTGAGAAAGTTGTCAGGCAAATACCCGGTGTATAAATCGCTGAATGAAAATGATTCAGAAGACACACTTTTCTTGTTTTTATTTTAATATACTAAGAATTCAAACGAACAATCGTTAAACGAATATATTTTATCAGTTTAAATTTATGTCATTCTTGGAGGTGAAATTCTTGTTAAAATACTCTATCCATTCATTCATTACTTCATTTTTCTGATATTCGAGTAGCTTGAATGCCTACGGAAACTTATTAAAATGTTAATTTGAGAGGAAATTTGTTTATAAGGTTTCACTGATAACGTTGGTTCAACGCCCAAACAGACTTATTTGATGCCGTTCGAATTTTCTCTGCCGTTATAAATTAAGTTCTGCATCATTCCCTTGCCATACAATGATGCATGTTTGTTGTATGAATAGCAGTAAATATTTCTTAGGGGTGTTTAAAATATACCCATAGACAAGGTCGTAACATACCATTGTAAAGATAAGATTTGTGGCATTTGTATAAATTTGCAGCACATAGATTTTGCTCTCTGATTTTGTATTTTAAAGTAGTTGATGAAGAATGGTACACAGCATAAGTTACTTGTGAAGGGAATGTTTTTCCATTGAACATTTGTTTGTATGTAAGACATTTCTCACACAGATAAAATTATCAATTGATTTTCTTCTTTTTGAATAGTCTTATAAAAGTTTTAATCCAGGGTGTCTTGACTAGAAAGGATGCACATTCAGTATAGCTCAGGATGTATACTACTGTGTGTCAGTTTAATTCATAATAGGATTTATCAACATTGTTTGACTCAGTGCGTTTAAAAGCAGTAAGAATAGTAGGCTTGATGGCTGACAGACTTGGATTTTAATGCTATTTCAGCCTTAGCCCACATAATAACAATACTACATGTACATGCATAATACAGGCTGCCTCAGCATGCTCAGATGAATTGCTATATGAACATATTGCAGCAAAAGCATGTCATATTTTGGGATTTTTTTTTATTTATTTATTTTGGATTTTAGTTAATATTGAGATTTTATGACCAAATGTATTATTATTCTTTTTACTATATAAGTAGGAAAAGGTTGTTAATGGCTTTTTGGTAGCAGTAATGAATGCTACACATTTAACATATATGATTAATTTTTTTTTCTTTTTTCTTTCCTTTTTTTTTTTTAAAAGAAGAGAACATATGAAATGTGTAAATCTTACTTTAAACATGTATAGATACATTGGAAAAGGAGGAGTTTGGAAGATACTTCTGTTGTCCAGCATCCAACATACACTGATTAGACATGGTAATGGATTTTGTCTATGTTGTGTACACATTTGATAGGTATTTCCTGCATCTATTGATCAGTATGTACGCTTGTTTAACTTTCATTTTCCTTAATGAACCTAGAAGAGTTGTATAAACCACAACAGAGTAGGCCCAGACAATTGGTTTAATTCGGTGAAAGAATCTAGAGTTTATTCGGTGTTGTTACTGTTGAATTGGTGAGGTGAAATGATGCAATTTTATTATATGGATATAGATTTTCACAGCATTCGGAATATTGACCTAGTGTTGATAGATATGATAGAACCTTGTCATCTGTATTGCAGTGTGATAAATTTTTCCTAAATGAAGAGGTACATGCAAGTTTTTTTACAATGATTACTTATATGTTAAGCTTGATTGTTCATTTAGTAATAATGAAATAGTCCTTTAGCATATATATACTAAAGTTTTATACATCGATTTTCTGAGTTTTCACAATATTGTAAAAAGCTGCAGAAGAAACTAATTTTAAGACAGACCATGTCCCAGACAAGTGTTATTATTTATATAAACGTGTACAATAATGAACACAATGTTAGCATATCTTATTGTTTTGCTTTGTTTATTATCGGTAGTGTGTCAGGTGCAGTTTGACTTCATTTCTCCTTCTTAATAAAAAAGAAAGTCATAGAAACCCAGACATACTTTATAGACAACATATATTCATACATTTAGTGAAAATTTTAGAGGGAGAAATATAGTACTTATATTTATCTCAAGATTATACGAAGTGCCTGATTAAGAAATCAAGCTGACAAATTTCTTCCCTTTCGCAAATATAAATTCATACTAATATAAAGGTATCGTTTCCTTGTTGACATATAAAATAGGAGTTGAATAGGATTATTTGATTTCATTTTTTGATACAGCAGTGTCTCAATGGTTTGCATCAGCTTGTCTAATGTAAGCAGTACTGACCTATTCAATACAAATACCTAGTCATGTCAAATGATGCTTAGGTAATATTGTATCAATAAGTACAGTTAGAATACTGTGTGGAGATGCTTTAATTACTTTGTACCTCATCTTCTCTCTTATTTATCTATTTGAGTACAGTCAGATGTTACCAGGAATTCTGTAATCTGGCAGTATTCTGGCAGACACCAAAAGTAAACAAATGGCATGTCATATTGAGGTGCAGTGAGATTTTTGACACAATTTCCAGCTGGCTGATGATAAAAGTTTAGGCAGTTTTTATAATGACTGTATTCCTCAATAGGATACTCATCTGGGGAATCCTAGAAATTCTATACCTGTAAGAAGGGTATACTAGGTGTTAAGAACTGGTCATTAACAACTGTGTGTCTCCAACATTAGAAGGATTTTTATCTTCAGTTTTAACTGATTTATCATCAATATATACATGTTGTCATAGGCTGACAATTATAAATGTGTAATAAAATTAGCAAAGTTTGAATAGAAACACTACCAAATGCATTATAGTGCATACCAAGGATAACACAGTGTATATATGTAATCATTTTTCATAAAAATGCTGTCTCGTGTAGAAATTTATAGCGTTATCTCACAGGTAAATCTAAATATGACCTGTATTTTGGTATAATGAGTATACATAAGGTTGTAAAAAATATACCTCTGGGACTATCAGTCACTGGAATGTGACCCTGGGGTTAATTTTTCTACATGGACTGTTTTTATGCTTAACACTATCTATAGAAACTTTATCATCCTTATAACAATATTGTTGGATTAGAATCACCAGTCTTCTTACACCACGGGTACACTCAGTGTAATGTCACATGTTGTTTTAATTCCCTTAATGCAAGGTGTCACTGAGGGATATCAACATAATTTTAACATGCTTTTGTGAATGAAATGTGTAAGGAAATAGAAACTTATGAGGCGGCTCTCGTAATATGAGGATCATTTTCAGCGTCACTTCCTCTACATAATCTGAAAGTCCACGAATTGCCACAGAATCAATGTGATCATCCGCATGTTGAGTTTGTCATTGTCTTGTCGATATATTTCTTGGATTGCTGGGGACATCTCACCTGTGATTTACCTGTAATTTAGGGAGGATTAGGTGGACGATCTGTTGTGAATCCTCAATTAATGGGGGATAAATTCTATGAGAGGAGGACATTTTAGAGATTCTAGGATAAGACAATGGTACACAGCATCACAGTGACAGGTAAGGCCTCATTATCATACCAGGATTGTCTCCGTGTGTGTGGAATGTGTGAACTAGGTAGAGATGCTCTACATATAAAGAAGGAATGGCTTGACTTGATAATGTATTTTGTTGTTGACAATCTGTTGTTTTAAAAATCATTTTTTTCTCTTCACAGAGTGATCTATGAATTCTTCATGTGTAATTGGGATTTAGGGTGGGTTTTTTCATGTTTAACAGCCTTTAACAGTATACTACATTTATGAAAATTCCCCAAATATTTCTTGCTAATGTGTGTTATATCTCATCTAAACTAGAAGTGGAAAGTCAGTATACATAGAGTTTACATTTAAGCTTTTGTATAAGTGGTAAGTTTTTCATAAGACCAGCTGTTGCATAAGTTTTACTCTACATGTATCAAACAGAAGACGATAATGGAGATTTTATACACAATATTATTTTATCACAATTTATTAACTTGATTTTTACACCAGGGCCACAGAGACAACACATCAAAGGGAAAACTAATAAAAAATGGATGATGTTTTTCCATTAACACATTCAGTTACAAATATTCAGCAATGCATTGCAGGGTCTTGTCATTGTTAACATGGCACTGAACTGTAATGAATGGCCTGTGTAATTATTACAACATTTTGTGACAAATGTTTTAATTGGATGTTGCCCTTGTGTAGGGTTTTCACCCCATGCAACATTAAAATGGTGGTGCAGTTTGGAGGAGGAAATTATTCAAATTAATGGATGTTTTTAAGTTGAGTGGTTTTTATTAATCAAGTATATATTGATGGCAGAATCATTTTTAGAAATTCAATCTTGTTAGCTGTGTTAAATTTGTCATTTTTTTCGGCCCAAAAGCTCTTATTTATGACATTTTTCTTTCCTTGGTATTAGACCAAAAAAAATAATAGTCTTGTTTCCTGCTACCAGCCTGAAAAAAATAGGGTAGGTAGGTAGGAAAATTATTTTGTTTTATATTTTTATTTTATTTTATTCTGACAGCATTTTTTGGATAAGAACTAATATAAGATCAAATTAAACATATGTCACAGGTCAATATTGTCTTTTAAAAATTAAATTTCATGTCTTTTTATGCACAACTCAAGTGGTATTTTATGAAAGTCCATATTCAAAACAAGAATTTCATGAAATGCTTGTTTTGTGTTAACACAGAAACCAATTACGGTGACAGAACAATGAAATTCTGGAAATTCCATATGTTTTTTTCTTCCAAAACTTAAAAAAAAACTTTAGGGTCGGGTGCAAAAAAATAGGGTAGGTCGGGTAGCAGGAAACAAGACTATTATTTTTTTTGGCCTTAAATGAAGCAAATTATAAACATTTATGGTAGGAAAAAATAGCATACCATTTAATTGATATGGTGGGTGTTCTTAGCCCTACAAGTCTTGTGAGCAGCTGGGGCTACTGACCATTATACTTTAACTTATTGATAAGGGTCACTCTGAGAACTAATATAAAGTTCATAAGTTCTGTCTATAACTGAGGGTCGTACTAATCTGATGGTCTCTCCGTTATGAAGAATTAAGCCTACAGATTATAACTCTACAGTTACGTGATGTATAACATGCAGACAACCTGGAAATTATTGAAGTTTTGTGCTGTGTAAACTGACAATTCAAAAAATCAGTAAAACCTGCAATAGTGATGTAAGAGTGGAACACATTGTTAAGTGTTTGTGTGAGTCATTTCTACAGGTAAAGGTCAACTTGTAGGACACCATCAACGATGACTTTGACTCCGCAAGGTTAATTAATGACTGCAACAATTTCTGTCTTAAGTTCAGGTTTAAAAAAAATGGCATTGGCATTGAACCTGTTGAATGTCTTACAACAGTTGACGACTCAGACTGTATTACTTTGACAATAATTATGACATAGTCATATGTTTCAATGACCTTGGCATAGTTACTGTAACATGTGAAGTGCTTTGACTGTGTGAGAATAATACAGAGATGAAGTACTAAGTCTGGCATTAACACAGACATTATGTAACTCATCAGTTAACTTTGGATGGTTTTACTTCCAGGTGTGGTATGGTGTTGACGTTGTGACCTACAAACATACATGATACAAGGAGGACTGAGTTCTTATAGACACTCTTTCATATTTTTTTTTGAGTCCAATGTGATTCTGTAATGAGAATTCATATGCAGGCTGTAATTGGTAAATTTTGAGATGGTTTATTTGGTCTAGTCACAATACTTCATAAAACAAGTGTTAAATTTTACAGTGAGAGATGCAGGGTTTTGAGAAAATTTATGCAGGAGGTCCATGCAGGGAGAGGTTGATTCCATCAGCTGATAAAACTCCAAATCTACCATCTTGTCATCTCTAATACTAACGGTCACATATAAGCATTCTTTGAACTCTTAAGATATATGAGCCAAATATTTTGCACGACCATAGATAGGTATTTGGGTCACTCTTTGTTGGTAAATATACTTTTAATGCTGTAGGTAACTACTTGGGGTAACTGTGTCAGTAGATTAGGTTTAATGCCTTTTTAAATGTTGAAATGCATTCAACATGTTCATCATCAAGATCAAATGGTTTTAAATTGGCATGGTTAATTTCTTTTCTTAACTTCAGTTGTGTACAATATTGTGTATGTATAAAAACTAGACAGTTGTGTATTAATCTGCGATTGAAGTAAAACATGTAAAGTGCTGCTGAATTAAAGCATAAAGTGCCAGTTGTTACTGAGAATTCTTACGTAACAACATTCCATGTGTCTACCTCTCAAAAATATTGTATCATTATCTCAGCTCGGAGAAAATAATGAACATTACATTTAAGATGAAGGGGTCTTTGATGTTTTTCAAAACTTCGTACATTATTAATTTTTTGATATCTATCACCGAACTCATTAAAACATTTTTTGTAGCTGTTTATAAGTTTACACACAGACATGACATATTGTTTATTGTTGACATCACAAGATGACAATACACAGATATAAATGATCTTTTTTTTTCCTTGACTTATTATAGGTAATAATCATCAACAGATGACAACATGACAATTCACATACAAGGTCAATATCCTGTGTATCATGACAAAATCATTTTGTAGTTTTCTGTAAGATCTGTCTGGACCAATATCAGTGTTTATAAGAGATTCCTCACCAAGTGATCAAACATTTACTGCATTTTAATCATGTGAGCTAATTATTGATGACCAATTTAAGACTTGTACAACTAATAGTATCAGTAAAATCAATGACTAATTGACATTTCCAAAACAAGTAAAAGTGATAGTCGGATGCTGTGATCAGTGCCTTTGATGTTTAGTGATAATTACCTTTAATTGGAGTAAAGGGGACCTCAAATTGAGCGGATTAGCAGGTACTAATTATCTCTCTGGTGAGTTAATTAGAGTTGAATAGTACTTGAAGTTGAAGTGTGATATATTACAGGTACTGTAGATTGACAATCTTAGTAGATAATTCACCTGACAAGTTATAGGTGTTATAGAATGTGACACCTGGATGCACAATGTGACTAGGGTATGGCTTTCATATGTTGCAGAGGAATTCTATTTTATTTCATTCAACCAAAGATAAGAAAATCAAAGAAATTGCCTATGGAAAGAATATGCTCACAGATAGAAAAAGGTGGCATTGTTTTTTTTTTCTTTCAAAGCTATGTTACTTTAAATTTATTACTGGATTTGCTTTGAAATTTATATTTAAAAAATAAATATATTCTACAATCAATTGCAAGGTCTAGGTTTACCTGTATTGTAGATTTGATATTTGAGTAAAGTGTAAATAACATTCTAACATTGCATATATAATTAAATTTAAAATTTTTGATTAACTATAGCATGTGACACATCCATATTGATTGATTACCCCTCAAAATGTAGTTATTTGGTGATATTATTTGATGGTATCATAATTGCATGAAGTCAACAATCCATTATTTTCTAGACTGTAATTTAGACACATGATCTTACACCTTTAACTTTTTAAAGTGATAGAAAAATGGCCAAGGGTCATAAAATCTCCAGTCCAATGATCTGTGTATAGAGACAACTGAGAATTAATGATGCCCTTATAATTTTGTATCCTTAGGGCATACTTTTTAGGGACTGTTGGGTTTCATATAAAGGGTCACAAACTGTAAAAACAAGCACTCTTGTGTTCCATCTTAGAACAGACAAGAACCCTCCCATTGCTGGTATATTTGTCAGCTCTTTGATTGTTTCCATTATCAAAGCTCTCAGCAAAGAAAGATGGGCAAAGATTTCTTTTCAGGTATATAATGTCTACTCTCTCACTCCAGGTGAAAAAAGCCTAAAGTCAGATACATACAGTGTGTATACAATACCAGTGTTTATCCTTGTATATAGGCCTATTGATTATTGAATTGTGTGTGATACAGTGGCTCAGTAGTGTATATGTGTGGACAGTCTGTCATTTGGAGGTATTATACCTTCTGTTTTTACCTGTATACCTGATCAGGTGTTGATTAACCTGAAGAGTGCTACATAAGACAACCACCTAAACCTCACTCTGGGTCCCATTGCTGCTTTAAAACCCTTGATTTGTACCCCTTCTAACTAATTCTAATTTGTTTGATGTCTTGCTTTGATTTCCTATTTGATGTTTGTTTTAACTTGCAGTTTCACTTTTCTTTTTTCAGATGTAGATCACCACAGTTTTAACCCAGACAATGTGAACACAGCTGAATCGACGACCTTTAACCCTGATCACATGATGGAGGTGGACAAAGTGACAGAGGCAGGTTCCTCTGTGGATGGTGTAGATCACATGTCATGGTCTGGCGATTCGCTGGATCACAGTCTCCGTTTGGAGGAGGTTCCTGTTACTGCAGGGGGAGATCACTCTAATTCACAGTGTATGTCTCCTGCAGAGAAGAGACAGAGGATAGACGACAGCGGAAAAGAGTCTCCTAAGACATCAGCGAGGGGATCACCAAGACCTCAGACGGGGGACAACCATTCCGTGTCATCAGGGAAAGCTTCCTCAACAGAAGAATCCAGAAAAAGTCCAGATCATAAAGCTCAAGGTAATTTGTTGTAGTATTTCACTGTAGTCCTTATTACTGTTGGCTGTTTCAGCAGTGTTGATAATTGTTTAGGAACACAAGACCAAAGGTTTAATTGTTGTGAAAATGAGAAACAGGAATAAGATAATAGGTTATATTTAAACCCTGTTTAGTTACTGCTAGCTTTATGTAAGTTTGATTTTCAATGTTTATTAAATTGTTTATTCATTAAGTTAGCTTTAAGTCCAATAAGCAAGTTCAGTATTGAGTTAGGAGCATGGTCTTGCTGTACATATAAGTTAGTTTTGCATATTGCATTTGTTTGGCTTATGTAATATATTATAATTCCCATGAAATGCAATGTTTGAACCAAAATAGAATAGTCCAGCACTCCCAAATTCTGTATAACATCCATCAAACATTCATATCTACTGCTTTAAAGTGGGTGCTGAATTTTAAAATGACTAATACATATATAGTAACACAACAAAAAGATATTTCCAAAGTAGATAATGATGTTTAAGATATTAGTAGGACTTAATGATTGTGCTGTATTTTTCAACAGAGGAGAGCGATGCCGTTAAAGGTACAATTTACGTGTGTTTCAGTTGTCTTGTTGATGTTTATAACACGTACATAGTGATTGGAAATTGATGTAAACATCAAATCTCACTGAAAGATTAATAACAGTTACCACAAAATTACAATTCACAAACTAATTTTGCTGTATTTCTGTAAAAAAAAAAGGCAATTATTCTTTATAAAACTTTTATGATTAAGTTTTTTTTACGATTGGAAGATTTTGCTACAGTTGACTTGATTGCCTCCCCTTTTCTCTAGGGACACATTTAATCACAGCAGGAAGGTCGTACGTTGTTATAAACGGACGGGTGGTAGGCAAGTAATGTTCCAATTTCAACTCTATGTTCTTCTGCGGGACAAACCCAACGAAGGACCACAATCCATCTAAAAGACTTAATGTTTTTCATCAACATGCTAATAATGTAGGTCTTTTTTTTAACCATGCAAAAATGGGCATATTTAAAATGTGGTTTTCCATTAATTAGAATATAAATGTTTTTAAATTTATTTTTACAATGAAATAAAATTTTTAATAAGGAAGATTTTTACTGAAATTGCCTCCCTTTTTACCAAGGTTGTGGTCCTTTTATGTTGGTACATTTGACCTTATCCTAAGGTCTGCATGCCAGTGTGATAGTCAGATTTTCCTGTGTCTGTTATGGCTTTTTTATGATATTTTTATGACAGGGTCTATAGCTTCTATTGACACACATCCTACCTGTAGCATGGTGTATACCTCTGATTTATTTATGTGTATTCGGTGTATTGATGGTCATGTCACCTCCTCTTCTCCCTTCAGTTTATTTTTAGTTATTGCTAGATAATTTTAGCACCCTTTTTACTCTATTTATGCAAATTTGATTTTTAAATAGTTGTTTTGTTTCTATAGATATTGATATTAGAATTTGATATTTATTTACTAAAGTAATTTTTTATGCATTATCGAATAAATGCTACTTAATGATAGAAATCTAAACTGGGAATAGTGGAATAGCCTGTTAGATTTTTAGTGGGATACCATGTAAAACAGTAAAGGAGGGGTTGTTGATCATAGGGAGATTTGGCACTAAATCGGATTCCTGTATATCTAGAAATCAGAGTGTTGGCTTTGTGAAGAAAGCTGTAGACTTCAATAATTTGGCAAACACTGGAACAAACAAGGAACAGAGTTTGATAAAGAAAGGCAACATTTATCAGGGCATTGTACAAATTTTATTTATAGTATCAGGATATTTATAAATCACATTTTATCTACATAGTAAAATAAAAATAACACAACATGAGGTATGTCCTTGCATTAAATATGAATGTTACACGCTGTCTACACATGACCTTTGAGAGTTATAATGATGATTTATTATAAATCACTATTACAACATGCCTAATCAAGAATTATTATCACATATATATTACTCCAGTGATGTATCAGTGCCAGTACACTAACCTTTTACACCATATCTACTCCAGTACTACATGTATGTAATATGCACTGTTACATAACAGTCCGACCATGTTCGGGTCACTTGAGTGTCATAAGACTTTCTGGTCGATTAACTGAATATATACTTACACATATATTATTATAATGGAATTAAGTCACTTATTAGTATCTTATTTCATGTAGATAATTCTAAGTTGTACAAAAGTGTTGAACAAAAAATGTATACTATTGCAAAGAAATGAAATCAGAAAAAGAATTCCTGTACGTGCAGGTACTCCATATCACAGTTATTTCAGTTATACAAGGTGACACCTGTGTAAAGTGCACCTTGAACATGTTGAAGTAGACGTCTAGATGCACATCTTTTTACTTACGATTTACAGATGATTGGTCTACTACCACAAACACTTAATTATTATTTTTAAATGGGTTATGATTTAATCATTTTTGGATGAAATATGAATGAAAGATTTATTGATCTGTCCAATCTAAATTTTTATCCACAGTCAGAAAGAAAAGTGTTTTTCTTTTGATCTTAATACCTGGTAGGAGATCTCTCACAGATAATGGTATCGGCCATATTTATAAAGCTTTAATTTCGCTGATTTTACCTTGATTGAAAATTCATCATAAAAATAAGTTTCTCATTTGATTAACTTTCCTTACGGCTGTGAACTGTTGTTGTGATAGGACCTTGTAGAAAGAGCAGGTAACATCTGTTGTGTTGACTCTGATGCTGATAATTCATATGGGAGACGTTTTAATGTTGCCAAAGATGGAAGTTGATGCATCAACTCTCATACAACACGTGTTGTTTTGATGAGGACTTTATCTACAAAAATTTTGCAAATCTGTCTTTATTTTTCACATCATCGGATTTAATGTTATGACTCTACAATGGCTGCAGATATTGGAGAACATACACATGTCTCTAGTTAATCTTTGAACATTTGCATTATAAGCAGCTATAAAGTGAAATGTTAGGAATAAGTGATGACAATCAGATGATTTATTGGTAATTAACTAATTAACAATGATAATTGAGGTCATTATAACTGATGAAACTGACACTTCAGATGCACAACGAAAAGAAAAAGAGAAAGAAAGAGAGGAGAAGATTCGTGTTCAGCGAGAGAAAATGGCTGAAGAACGGGCCAAAAAGTTAGAGGAGATGAAGGAACAGCAGCGATTGGCCCAGGAGAAGAGAGACAGGCAACTCGAACTACGACGGATGAAAATCGAGGAGCTACGGAGACGTGACGAGGAACGCAGAGTGGCTGTTGAAGAACGCCGTAAAAGACTAGAAACCCAAGACAAGGTAAGAAAAACCATGATCAAAGTTGACCAGTTCAAAGTCTGTTTCACAAAATATTTCTGTTGTGGAAAATGTGTGAAGCAGCTTTAAAGTAATACTGCCCTCAAGAGCTTTGAGAATACACCGAGTTGCTGCTAGATATTTCATTGTCCTTTTGTTTGCAGTATAAATGCAACAGAGAACCTTAACATCAAACACATGCAGAACCATTACATATTGATCTCCTTCATTAGAGAGCTACAGTCTCTGGTGATGATACTTTAATTGTGAACTTCAGAAATATTTAATGCCAGAGTTTACTTTGTAAGATATCAAGTTAAAGGGAAAGTGAGAGAAATAGCATGGCTATAAAGAGATAGCAGTAGTCCTGGGTTTGTTTGAATGAAGCAAGCTTCCACGGAGTACCTGTTGGATCATAGAATCAAATTATCACCTTGATGTTGATAACAATCTGATTTTGTGAAATATGTTTAAGTTTGTAATGAATATATGTACTTCAAAATACTGATAGATTCTTTTGATGTAAATAGTTGCTTTTTACAAGTATTTTTTATGCATTTTAATTAAGCAGAACATAATGGATCAAGCTTTATATGAATTTTGCAATGTTTTCTAGGGAATAACGACTCTTTATTTATGCATTATTTCTTTTATTATTGCACATGATAATTTGAATATTGCTCCATTTTGAAACATATCACTACCCAAACCATGACCTGCCTACTTCAAAAGAAAATAATGTCTTTGAAAATTTGTTGTCCAATTCCCAAAGCACAAATCTTTTTAGAGCAACATGAAACAAAAAATCTCTCTGAAATGTTCCACACAGGAACTGAAAATTAGCTCTAAGCCTTTGTACATGCGGTATGGCCATAATGGTAGGTCCACATTAAAGAGCATCAAACAGTGGAAGAGGAAGTGATGATGTGGTGCCGTTGTAAGTCTGGGGATGTGTACCTGGAGGATGCTGCAGGTGACACATCATCGATCTTGTCACAGGCAGCAATCCGTGGTACCATTTATATTGATTCATAAAGAAATCAGCTTCCTTTTCCCTGCCTTAAAAGACCTGCATAGGTTTTGAAAGAAATTGATTAAGATAGAAAAAATAAAAATGCTACGTTAAAAGGTTTTATCACACAATGGTTCTCTACACAGGAGTTGTGAGGATCAAGGACATGGATCATTTGATGTCACATTGTCTCCCACAAAAACATCTGCCACTTTTTCCCTTCTCAATTATCATAACTGTCACCTAATGTAACAAAGCAATCAAAAGAGTTGTTGAGTTTATCAGTTTTTAAAGGCACCTCTTAAAATTTTATGCAGAGAATACAAAAGAGATCCATACTGCACAAGTTGTTAATGAAAATTTTTATTATGTTATGATTTGAGGAATTTCATTTTAAAATCACTTTTTCTACAAATGTCAAATGAAAGTCTACTTGCATAAAAATTTGTTTTACTCAGACTTTTTTCTCTCCATTTTTAGGCTAGAAAGGAGGCCATTATCCAGAAATCCAATGAGCGTCAGACGCGGTATGAACAGTGGAAGGCCCAGATGAACAGCCGTAAAGGTGGGATTAGCTATGTGATCGGCTTTGGAAGTCGAGCACCACGCTCTGTGTGTCAGCCTCTAGAGCGCCGCCGATCATCTTCTCATAGCACAATCTATCGTCGCTCACCTCAGGGTTCTGATGCCGACTCTTATATCCCTCACAGACGGGCTTTCTCTGCCTGTAGCGTGCGGAGACACTGCTGTATAGATATTAACAAACTCACGGGGCAGGGTACGTCAACTAATCAACAACATGTCAAGTTAAAGTTCAAAGAATTCTGTGAAATTTGTCATTCTGTTAATATAAGCCCTGAAAAAACAGGCTCTTCCCCACAGCATCTAAATGTGAAGTTTGCTCATAGGAAACTCAAGTTACAGGGGTTTAAGAAATCAAGAGCTCAAACTAGCAAACAGGAACAGAGAAGTCTAGCTTTGTATGGTTCTCCTGTAAAGGAGAAGCCTTCATTGTCAAAAGTTAATAAAGTCAGCAAACCTCCCAAAGCTAGACGAGCTCTGTTCTCTAAGCTACACTTGATGGCTACTATGAAATCTATCAAAGAGGAAACATAATGAAATCTATGTTTGTGATAATGTTGAATATTTTGGTGCTTTTTAATTTTTTGGATAACTCTTGATCTATTTATGTGTATGTTACTATGACAGTCCCAGATTGATTTATTTTTTTGCATTTTCTCTCCTACTTCCCCCATCTCCTACAATAGAGTAGTGTGATTTTGGTTGAAAGCATGGGGTCTGGGGGAATCTCTGAATTTTGTGTTTTTTGTTGGGGAAAAAATTGTGACATGTTGTTTATCATTTATAATATAATCTACTTCTATTTCCAACAGTCAGTACTTAACTTCATAACTTGTCCTAAAATGTGATAATTCAAGATTTTAGAAATGAAATGATGTATACGCTAATATACATGGAATTAAGAACTGGCTGTTTAGTTTTTCTACCAGCTTGGAGGTAAAACTGTCTCTTACGTTATATTTATTTCCATTTTGCCATTTTTTTCTTGCATATATTATCATAATTTTGGGTGGTTTGAATCTCCAAGTAAATACAGAAATATTTTTTTTACTAACATCCCTTTTTGCTTTGTGTGTGTTAGTTTAATGTTATGACTTGATTGGTCTCTGTATAATGTTAATGTGTTAAAGATTAGGCGGTCTTGTTGGAGATTCAATGTCTGTGTGTTTAGACTGACTTACAAGCCTGTTAGTACTAGCTGCTAATGATGTGAAATCTACTAACCAAGTAACAAATCTAAAAATATATATCATGTATTAAACACTGCTTTTATTTAACTCATAGCTGCATATTTTCATCAAGTCTCATCCTGATCTCTTCTCATTGCTAAAATTCAACATTTTCTGAAAACATTTGAATCATTTTTATCATGGCGGTGCGGTGAAAGAGGCAACTGGTATACTTTTTCACAAAAATCACGTTGACATTTCTTTGTCATTAGTTTTCTCCTAGCTTTTAAAGTTCATTTATTAGATTTCATTTTATAATACTCAATCATTTCATTTAATTTTTTTTTCTTTTATTTAAAAAAAATTATAAATAGACATTCCAAATCAATGAAGGAAAACTGACCAATCAGTGGTACTTTTTGTTTTAATCACATTGTAACTTATTATTTTCACATTCTTTAAGCTATACTAACACAATTAAGATTTATGCACAATATTTGCTATAGTATATATATATTATGTAATAAGGATTATCATATTATGATTGATAGTTATGAATGAAGTATACAAATAAAGATTAGAAAAAAATAAGAACTTGGATTCCTTTCTTTAATACAAATCAACATGGCAACTGTTGTCAAGAAAGCAGTTCCTTGATAGAGGACAAAACTGAATGTCAAGGTCACTTGCACCCTGAAGAATATTGAAAGTACAGAAAAAGATATATATAAAGAAAACTATGTGTGTGAACATTTTAAAGGCAAGAATTGTGAGGTAAACTGTAAGCCTTTTGCAACGACAAAAAAATATGTCAGCCTATTGCAACAAAAAAAATGTCAAGCACTTCATAAAGAATTGCCTTGCTGCAAACTAAAAACAGTGCAGTATTATATTTTCTCATGAACTAGAACCATTTTCTATGTTCTCCTCAAGAACTACCAAACATTTTCTATAATCTTAACAAAATGCCATGAATTCCCTATTGATTTGTATTATAGAAAGGAATTTTTATAAAGTCTATCAAGTAAATATTGTAAATATAAATATTAACATCTCTAGGCATGATATTTAAAGTCTTATTTCTTAAATGGATCATGTTAAATTTTCTTATCTTTAATTCAAGCATTTATTTTGGGCAAGGCTTTTTCATTATGAATTCTCAGATTGTTTTTGCATTTTTTTGTTGCATCTTGTTGCATTGTGCTTGCATTGCTTGACTATTACAGTAGGAACTTTTGGAAGCACTCCACCCTCTAAACATCTCTCCGTGTCAACAAGTGCCCTTTATAACAAACGCACAAGTGACCTCTCTTCATCCAGTGGTAATCTCAACTCCCGCGAGAGACCAGCAGAGTCAATGATGGGTAAGGGTGTGTCTGTGTCATTCTCATGTGTCTCCACTATTGTACATAACACACAGGGTTACAAAGCATGCAGACTTCGTGTAAAAACTGAACATCCAAGGTCAGAGTTCAAGGTTAAGCTAATTAAGGTCATTATGCGTAGTACATGATTGTTTGTATGGCTGACGGAGGAAATGGAAAAAAAATAATTTTCATTGGCAGGAAGTGTTGTTACTGTGTTAAACAAGGCCAATTTGTGACATTAATTCTGATATTAATATAAAAAATGTGCACTTAACAAACTTCATATTCATAAAGGGCTATGGAGTGTAGAATACTCCCGACACACTGAATTTGAACTGTCTTAATGACATAATAATTATTCTAAAACATTACAGTAAATGGTCGTTTCTCAAGGTCTTGATGAGGGTAGGGTATTTGTGCATTACCTGTCTTTCCAAAGGATCATAAAACTATTTTACCTTTAAGAAATAGACAATCTGGCATGAACCCTGCATGTGTTTTGTACATCGATCAATTCTTTTTTTTTTCTCTCATCCTCATCTTTTTTTCATTCAGTACTTTATTGTAGAATATGTTTAGTAAATTCAATGTTTACAGTTTTTTGTCTAATCACATGTATGGCATGAAACATCATATGCATGATGCTTGGTCTATCATATTGCTTGATTCCATACAGTATCATATTCTACGACAGCTATGAGTTAACATAAACTTGCAAAGTGATTAAATTATACACATATATTCAAATATCTACCTTCAAATCATAGAAAATGACTAATGTAGTAGTTACTGGCCTTATGATTTGGACTATTGATTTGGAGAGAGGTATATTGGTAGGCGAACACATGTCGCCATCTATACAGCAACAAAGTAATTGGATTAATCCACTGATCGGCCTGCATGTTATGTCAATATGCTGCATTCTGTATTTTTTGTACTCAGAGAATGGCACGAAGCATGCAAACTAACACTTTCAATAGAGAACTGTTCACTTTTTGATATTGTGTTTTGGCTTCACAACCAGCTGGGTTCCTTGCTTTTCTGCAAAGAAGCAAACTCGTTATCTTTTGTGTAATCAAATTCTTAGTTGCATGTGTTGATTAATGTATTGTTGAGAGCTGTATATTCTTTTGTCCCTTGAGCTTTTCTAATTAATTAAAGGCTTTGGAAGTGATCTGTTCATTTCCACAGCTTTTATGATGGGAGAGGGCCTTTGCCATTAGAATTTACAATTCAGATGAACTACCTACATAGACCACTATAGGCCATCAGGCATCAGCTATTTATTGCTACTTTCACTAAGTAGATAACATTTTCTCAGTCATCTCGACATTTGGATTTACATTGATACTAGTTTATGGAGTTTAAATTTGAGCAGTTCAGTCTTTTTTATGTCTATAGCTTAAAACATTGTATGCTCAATGTTCTACTCTGCTAATGAATTGAAACTGAAGAAACAAGTTTGAAAAAAAGCTAATGTTCATTCACTGCTTAGTAAACTGAAACACTAAGGATTAAGTACTTTTTTTGGTGTACAAAAAAGTGATCCACTTGCATTACAAATTTTGGTCATTGATTATGCTAAGGCTCGTGAACCAGAAATACCACTTATATATATAGCAACATGAATTTCCTATTGAAAACAATGTTAGGAATGTTCAGTATTGACAATTTCTTTTACTGTTTAAAAATGTGAACAGAAATGAAGAAGCAGACTTAAATGATACATCCATTGTTAACAGTGTTTCTTTTAAAAAAAAAGAAAAATTAAAAAAGGAAAAAATCCAAGATTGGATGCTATAAAGTGTATTAAACATATCTAGTGGTGTCAGAAAGTTACAAATTTAAGGGTTTATGTATACTTAACTTAAAGTAATGTGTTACATGCATCCACTCTCAGTTTTAACCACTATAAATTTATTAAAATCATATCATGCAATATTACATTATCCCAAATAAATCTTGTTTTTGGTTAGGGATAGGTATAATATAGCTGATGCCAGGGCTCTAACTCCTGTACTCTTTGGCTTCTTATACCCAGAGGTGGTGGTGGGCTATGCTGACTGCTAGCCGGATGAAATTATATTCAAATTATCCAACTAACAACAAATTATTTGAATTTGTGTGCATTTTGACTAATATGGTGTTATTTTTTTTCTTTTTTTCAAAAACCTTTCTCAATCCACCCAAAACTCACCCCCAATCAAAAAATTTACACATCAAAATTTGACCACCCCAAAAATCTGGGCACATTTGGTATTCAAACGCACAGCCCTCAACACAATCCCAGAGAAAGGACGATCTTTTCTAGCACCTAGTGGACCTCCACCCACCAGACCCAAGAGCACAATGAACCTGTCACACAGGGAAACAGTCAAATTACGTGAGAAGACCACCCCCAGGAAACCCCGCCCTGCCAGTATAGCAGGATCCTCACCTAACTTCTCTCCTAACGTGAAGAAGGCTGCAGATTCACGTAGCAAAAGTACGGATCGACTCTCAAGACCAAGAGGTAATGAGTTTTATCCAATTTTACCATAGGCTAGGTTAATGTCAGTTCTCTACTATGCTTTGAAATATATGTTGCTGGGATATATCTTGTATTATATAGGTTTGTTGTTTGATGAGTATTTACATATTTAATTGATGTGGAATTAGCAGATTTTCAAAAAAGGCATGTTTTAAAAAATGTTTTTGCTAGAATTTCTTTTGAATTTTGTTTTTAAGGTAGATTAAGATAGATTGTTTCTTCAATTTTACTTGTATTAAGTTTATCATGTTGAACAGAAATGAATTTTGTTTTTAAGGTAGATAAAGATAGGCTATGTTTCTTCATTTTACTTGTATAAGTTTATCATGTTGAATAGAAAGTGATTGATGTTATGAGGTGAATCATCACAGACAGTATAAAGCCAACATTTATACCTGTCAGGTCAATTATAAACCTAACTCTGTCAATCACATATCTTCTTCCGTGGTGGCTGCTACTTATAAACTGATTAATCATATAAACCACGAAAATCGCTTTTGATAAGTGCTTTGATTTAATTTTTTAGAGTCTGTGGTTTAGCATGTGTTCAGCATTTCCTTATGTGCACTTTCTCTTCCATTCATACAATAACATTAATGAGAACGCTTCCTTTGTTCCCTGTAGAGAGGTCTAAGCCTCCCACTCCAAGAATGTTTCCAAAGAAAGATGTGGATACACAGAAACACATCAAAGACACACCCAAGAAGGAGACCCCCAAAGAAATCCACAGGAGGGACCTGTCTAAAGACATCAGCAAGATAGAGAAAATGCCAGTGAAAAAAGAGACTCCAAAACGAGAGAAAGATGAACAGAACAAACAAGAGAAAGCCTCAGATAAGAAGGTAAAATAGAGGCTGGCTTAGTGTATGCTTCTGGTGCGCATTGTCTTATCCCTATATTTATCTTAAAGATGAAGGCACAAGGTTGTTTTGCCTTAGAATGAAGGGTTGCTGCATGGAAACTATTGATTTTTATGAATTGTAATTAACTCACAATATGTTAAAATTATCAAATTGCAGATGTCGTTTATGCTCCCCTGAAGGATATTTTATAGAAATCTAATTTACATGCATTAAATTAAAGTTATGTATTCTCTTTGATTGTGGATGTGCTATAGGCCTTCCCATATGACAGATTGCTAGATAATATGAATAGATCAATGATAAATATAAATATGTATTTATTGGAATATCACTAAAAAGAAAATATAATCCAAAATAATTACTTGCATTGATTTGCAGTCTTGATCATATTTTAGTAAAATTCTTAAAGTTTTGCCACAAATTTTTGTGCATTTCTTGCAAACATGTAAAGTGCAATGCTTCTGCTGAATATAAAGCTTCCGAGTACTTCCTTGTTACAATGAGTATGCTGTTACAGGTTGTAAGACGGTCTTTAATGCCGACAGCCCCTCCCCCCAGTGTTAGAAAGGTAACCTTGAGTTGCATGCTTCCCTAACTACTGCATGGCATTCAGTGATGTTGGGATACAACTTCCTACTTAAAATTGAATTGTTTTAAGACTTTAATAGTGTTATTTTTCTTTGAAACTGAGTTTCTTGCTAACCTTTGGTTCTTTGGACAGGTTTAGAACTATCAAATCTCTTTTCTTTATTCAGACATTATATAACCACGTTATTCAGAAGACCATGATAAACTTTATAAATGCTTAGTCATTATATAAACAAGAAAAACTATGTGACAAAGCTGTTTCTTTACAGTGATGCCTGTAAAACATATTCTGGAAAAAAATGTGTATATATACATAAACGAGGGTTTTCCAAGAAAAAATTGAGTAAAATTGTTCATGTACAAATGTAAATTAAAACAAATAATGGTATCTACGATTTTCTGGGACAACCCTCATATGTATTTATATTCTCAGTATTCAAGAAATCATTACCTTATTTTTTCCTGATAATATGTAGTATTGATTATTTGATATTTTTATATAGAGGGTAAATGTATAAACAGCATAAATAGAGTTAAATTCTTCCAGTTTATTATGTAGAATAATCTATGTTTCAGATTAATTTTGTGAAATGGTTCTGCCTAATTTTTCAGTTTTATGTGTTTTTTTTTTGTCCAGTTTTCTACAAATTTGTTTTTTATGTGAAGTCACAGCTTTCTTCAATTATTATAGTACTTTTATCACCTTTAACGTGTTTATCTTTAGTTTTCGTAACATTTTAAAGCAGATAATGTTTCATATCTGTAGAATTCTGTAAGTAATAAGGAAGGTAATTGTAAACATGTGTGTCTTATGGTGAAAATCAAGAATACTGAACTTATTTTGAAACAGACACCAGTAAAGCAGCCAGAAACAAAGACAACTACCAAATCTGGGTCAAAGGAAATCAAGAAAGAGGTCAAGGTCAAGAAAGCTGTAGCAACAACCCCAGAGAAAGAGAAAGCCCTTCTGGATCAGAAACCAGAATCCAAGAGCAAAGAAGAAAAAGGTATTATAGATAGAGAAGCCAGAGAACGAGGTAGAAAAAGGTATAACAGCTATTGAAGCCAGAGAGAGGGAGAAAAGATATTATAGGTATTTAAGAAAGAGAGAGGGAGAAAAGGTATTATAGGCATTTAAGCCAGAGAGAGGAAAAAAAAAGTATTTTAGCTAGAGAAGCCAGAGATAGGGTAAAAAGGCAGCTGCACAGCATCTTTCTTTATAAGAGAGTGGTGTAATTACATTATTTAGCAAGTGCTTGAGATCAAAGTTCCACAAAAAAGTTTAGAAAAAGGAAGTATAGTGGGATGTGACCTTGCAGATTTTGTCATTATTATCAATGCAAATGAAGTATATGCTTGAATAAATACATTTTTTTGTTATTTTTGGTAGAAGTTGCTGAAAGTGTTCCTGAAAAAGTAGAGAAGCCAGATGTTGAAGAACAAGTGGCAGATATTAAAGACATCAACATTTTAGAAGATCTGGTTCCCTCAAAGTCTGTTGAAGATTCATCAGTAGTGACAGAAAAAGTATCCACCCCAGAGCCAGAAGAGAAATCAGAGACAATGGTACCCAAACAAGAAACAGAGGAACCTTCTGTTGTCAAAACAACAGAACCCAAACCGGAAACGCCGGAACCTGCTGGAGTCAGAACACCAGAACCCAAACCAGGAACACCAGAACCTACTGGGGTAAAAACACCATCATCTGCACCAGGCACTCCAGAGAAGGTGGCCACCAGGACAGTTTCTCCTAAACCAGGAACCCCACCACCATCTGCAAGAGCAGGATCCCCCAAACCTGGTACCCCTTCATCTGCTACCAAAAGTAAGAAGGAATTAGAACTAGAGGAGTACAAAAACAAACTTGCCGAGAAACGACGTCAGGCGAGGGAGAAGGCAGAGAGAGAAGCGGAGCTAGAAAGACAGCGACAAGAGGAATTAAGGTGGGTACTTGTATAATAATTGAAAGTGGGTGATGAAGGGATAACTGAGGTTAAAGGTAATGCTGCAGTCATGTTTTATCTTAGTTTGTAATGAAGTTTTATGAAGATTTGATTTTTTTCCCTTATATCAGAACTTAAAGATTTCTAGAATGTCATTAACTCTTTATATTTTTTAAAAATATATCATAATCAGCCAAACAGGCAGACAGATTTGGGTTAAATAATAACCCCCTTTTTCCTTTGTTGATAGAGGAAATGATAATTTGAGTTGATATACTTTATAGCATCTTGCCTGACTCATCTTAATTATCCACAGAGAATATTGTAGTCAACTTTAAGTTAACTACAGAGAAAGGTTATTGCAGCATGGCCTTTATGGAAGATTTTTTTATTGTGCATTTCATTTCTTCCATTGAAACCTTGATTGAACCTCCACATGATTCTGTTATTTAATATTAATACATTCAGATTTTGACTAATAGGATTCACTCGGTCAATACCTGACATCAAATGAACCAGAGATGCAGATGTAGGCAAACAAGGTTTAATGCTGGGCACATGTGTCTGTCTCCAGTTTTATAAATAATGAAATTGGATCAATCAAATTTATGAGGTGGAAAATAATTTCATGCATTTGTAAACAGTTAAAAGTTCACCAGCCTTACACCCAGGTCACCCTAGTTCAATCTAGGGATAAAGATATAAAGTTTGCCTCAGGTTTGATGGGTAACTTATTGAATTCTCTTTGATGTTAGGTCTTATAGTTGTCAGATGATTGTTTGACCAATCATAGACCTTGTGTTTAAAGTTAGGTCTATGTTCACTTCTCAAAATATTAATATATATTTAACAGAAGGAAAAAAAATGTTTCATTATTTTAAAAAAATGATTGTCTAGGAAAAGTTTTCATAAAGATTACTTTTTAATTTATTTCAACGTCAAGTAATTTTTTAAAAAAAGGAAAGAAAATTCTTGTGAGTTGTAGCATGTATTGAAAGATGCATTCTACTATAGTCGTGCTCTAAATGCTATGGGTGTTTAAACTAAATGATAAAAGTATTGAACTTTCAATTGGTATTAAACTTAAATCACTTGTAATGATAAAAACATTGATCATTCAGATGGTATGAGACTTATAAATATCAATTATAATGAAAAAATCGTAGCTAATTCAATTGGTATGAGACTTAAATCAATTATAATGATAACATTGAACATTCAATTTGTTTGAGACTTAAATCACTTATACTGATAAAAATATTGATAGTTCAATTTGTATGAGACTTTAATCTCTTTATAATGATAAAAACATTGAACGCTCAATCGTTATGAGACTTAAAATCAGTTATAAAAACATTGGATGTTCAACATGTTCAACTTGTATGAGACTCAAATCACTTATAATGATAAAAATATTAAACATTTTATTGGTGTGAGACTTAAATAACTTATGATGGTAAAATTGTGAACGTTCAACTGTTATGAGACTTCCATCACTTATAATGATAATAAAAATATTGAACGTTCAGTTGGTACAAGTCTTGAATCACTCATAAATATTCACAAATAGAGGTGAGCTTTGTAATCTTTGATCATCTCTATTTAACTTTTGTTAAATTATAAAACCTTTGTAATGTGTCGATTCTTAAGAAAATGTTTCAATATTGCATGGAATCATGATTTAATGAATTGGAAATAAATACATGTAAATAATAATTCAATGAATGACATCCTTTATTTAAGGAATCACTGTCTAGTTTGTTGGGTATGCCAGGGCATCAACGATAGTTGGAAACGTGGAATAATTTGCATAACATGCGAAGCCGGTTATGCATAAATTAACCACAAATCCAACTATCGTTGATGTCCCTGGCATAGCCAACAATTAGACAGTGATCCGTTATATTTACATTTATATATGAAATAAAATTGTAAATATAAATTAAAAAATGCTGTCTAATAGATTTAAGATACATGAGGCCTCCATGTTAATTTCAATAGTCCCTGCCCACTGACATCAGACACAAACACAACCGCACGAGATTGACATGCATATAAGGCTCTTGACCTTTCACCTGGCGAAATTAACATTCAAGTTGAATTATCAAGAAATCAACTCGCCTAACTTTCAAAGAGTTATCACAGAAAAAACAATTAGAAATGGAAATATTAAGATATAAATTTCATGTTATTTTACATAAAATAAACAGATTTTTGAAAACCTTTTATAGAACCTAATTACTGTAGAAGCAAAAATTTTTTGACAAACTTTATCCTTGGCCATAAATTTTAAATGGGTGGTTCCAGGGCTTTCATAATTCACCAAGCTTATTCCTTGTGACAAGACCTTTCATAGGGTACCAACATTTTTGTATTCTTGACTTTGACATTCATTTGAAAAACTTTAACCTTGGCTTTGAGTCATATAGGGGCATTGGTGTTTCAAAAAAACATGTTGTATTTATCAGGTGTTAAGTGGAGGAGCATTTTATTGTAGCCTATAAATTTTTTAATCAGATGTTAGGAGGAGGAGTGTGTTATTGTAGCCTATAAATTTTTTTTATCAGTTGTTAAGAGGAGGAGGAGTGTGTTATTGTAGCCTATAAATTTTTTTTTTATCAGTTGTTAAGAGGAGGAGGAGTGTGTTATTGTAGCTTATAAATTTTTTTTTTATCAGTTGTTAAGAGGAGGAGGAGTGTGTTATTGTAGCCTATAAATTTTTTTTATCAGGTGTTAAGAGGAGGAGGAGCGTGTTATTGTAGCCTATAAATTTTTTTTTATCAGGTGTTAAGAGGAGGAGCATGTTATTGTAGCCTATAAATCTTCTTTTTATCAGGCGTCAGGAGGAGGAGCGACAGAGACGTGAGGAAGAGGAACAGAGACAAATGGAGGAAGAAGCCCAGCAGCTGGCTGCACAGGCAAGGCAGGCAGAGGAAGAGAGGCTCCGAAAGGCAATAGAGGCTGAGGAGCTCCGAAAGAAGGAGGAACAAGAGAAACTGGAGCAGGAAAAGAAAGCAGTAAGTTGACAATTATTTGTACTAAGATTTTAAAATAATTTATCTTTGAATGTGGTTTCTCCTTACTGAACTATGATGCCCTCTTTCACTATCCACCATGTGGAGAATTGACTTGAATCAAATGAATGGTCTTGCACCATTTCAAAGGAAGAAAGTTCAGAAAAAAATGAAGTGAAGTGGGGTTACTGAAATTTTTAGTTTTTTAGAATCAAGCATACCCATGTCTTGTAGATTCACCATTGTTTAATCTATCTAGCCCCCAAGGGTAGGGAATGTTGATGAAAGGAGTCTAATTTTTGCACAGAAATATGTAGGAAATGTCTTTTGAAGAATTACAGGGCTACAAGATGTCAAATTTACGGGCAGAATATTAGAATGTAGTTTGCTCAGTATTTTGCCCCTTATGAAGAACTGGGGAGGGGTGTTAATGCACTTTTTTGTAATATGAAAAAAAATTGAGAAAAAATAAACTTAACAAGGAGAGCAAGAAAATATTTTCATTGGGCCAACAATAAAAAATGGTTTGTTTGATGTACTCTGAAAGACCTGTCAAAATTGCTCCTACCCACTCATTTTTTTTTCAGTACTATTTTTTTCTTCTGGGAAAAAAGATCATTTTCAAAGTTTTTATCATTATTTTTCAAGGTGGGTAGTTAGGGAGGTAGTTTTAAAAAACTTCCTACCTACCTACCCACCTTGAAAAAATAATGGGCCAGAGTACATCAAACAAAAATTTTTTAATGATGGCCTTGTATTCATTTTTTTTCCACATAGTTATGCTTTGAAGTGGGGACAAGTTAAGGCTCTCAGTTTTGCAAGAGAGTTTAGAAGACAAAAGAACATATAGTAAGGCTCAAAAAGTATTCCTAGCAACATTCAGTGACTGTTAATACCCTAGGGCATCTGTCAGAAATTGGAATTGTAATGCATTCTCATGATTCCTTTCGCACAATTTTTCTTAAAAGCAAGAAGGTATCAAATTGTTTCAGATTGGGTGAAGTTCTAACTAAACTGTAACATGATGATTTGTATTACAGAGAGAAGAAGCAGACCAGCGGGCTCGTGAGGAGGCAGAGAAGGTGGAACGAGAGAGACAGGAGAAAGCCAAAAAAGACGAGATGGAGAGACAGGAGAGAAAAAAGGTAGAAAAAAAATAGTGTAGATAATGGCATATTAAGATCATATTATCTCTTAGGGGAAAATTAGAAGTTACAAAACAACAGGCTCCAACATGATATCTCTTAGGGGAAAATTAGAAAAATAAATGGATTAGTAGCTGACAGCAATCTTTAAAATGGGGCAAAAAATACTTTCTATGAAGAGATTGCATGATACATTTGAAAAATTGATTTCTGGTTTATATGTACCTGAACATTTTCTGGGTTAGTGGTGTAAGATGTCATTGATATAAGGCAATTAAATATCCTGGTAGAATGTAAATTTGTCAGAATAGCAGAATGTCATCGGATAATTCTCATCATTAATAGTCCTATGATTATATCTGATTATACTGTTACAGAGACTAGAGATGATCATGAAGAGGGTGAAATCGGATTCTCCACTGAACGCTTCTGCTGGCATTTCAGCATCCACAGAAAATCTCAGGGTAATTTATATTCAAATAAGGTCATTTTGCTATTTAATTAGGAGTTTCGATTCTGAAATTATGCATGCTGAAACACTTGGTCTTTCTAAAGGCAATATTTAATCAAATCAGTGGAGTTCATGATTAAAGATTAATAAGGTAATGTCTTGAATTATTCTGGAAAAAATGCACATAATTATATAATTTACAGTTCACAAAAGAATTTCTTCCACAAAAAGATGGAAGCATTTTTTTTTTTACATCTGATTAATACAGATTCATTGCATTTTTACTTGATCATGCAATGATCATATTGTATTACAGGTACATTTATATGAAAACATACCTGTAGGTGTTTGCATTGTACTTTCTTTTTGCCCCATGAGGGCCCTTAATTGGTAAATAAACAAATTGAATTGCCATTCAAACAACAAATAAGATAATTATATCTTAAATAATTATATATTTTATGTATTGACAACATTGTATTCCCTGTGTGGTGTTTTTGTCAGTAAAATACCATATAATATAACTATCTTGTTGTTGGACTTCAGAGTGAGGGAATGTCTTCATCGCTGTCCACCTCTCTCCTCGGATCCTTGACCGCTTCTTCTGACAGACTGGACGATCAGAGGACAAGTGAAAATGGAGTGGCATTTAACCTAGAGGACACAAACGGAGAGGGAAAACCCCAGGAAAACACAGGATCCAAATTCAAATCTCCACTACTACAGAAACTAGTGGAAAACAAATCTCAAAATGGGGGCAGTGAAACACCCAAATTCAAATCACCACTCTTACAAAATTTGCTAGGGAAAAAGGGAAGGTTAAATTTAGATAAATTAGATAGTGAAAAATCTGATGGATCAGATACTGAGAGAAATGACTCCAAACCTGAGAATGGAGATTATATTCCTGAGGAGACAAATTATAGTGAACGTACAGTGAAGAGTTCCTTACAAGGGGATGTAACTCTTGAGAAAAGTGATAGTATAGACAGTGAGGAGAATAGTACCTCCAGTGACAGTAAAGGGGAGACTGTGATACAAGGTAGTGAAGATACACCTGTACAGAATGGGCGAGTACATCAAGACCTTATAGACTCTAGGTAAGGCTTACTGTAAAACAAAACCTCATTGACTCCAAGTAAGGTTTACTGTTAACTCAGACCTCATAGACCCCAGGTAAAGTGTACTGTAAATAAGATCCTTATAGACTTCAGATCATAGCTTCCAGGTAAGGCTAACTGTAAACCGAAACCTTATTGACTCCATATAAGGCTTTCCATAAACCCAGACCTCATGGAGCCCCTGGTAAATCATACTGTAAACCCAGACCTCATAGGCTTCAGGAAAGGCTTACTGTAACCCCCGACTTTATAGACTATAGGTAGGTAAGGCTTATTGTACACTCTTCATTGATGCCAGGTAGGGCTTGCTGTAAACCCAGACCTCATAGACTCTAGGAAAGGCTTACTTTAAACCCAGGCCTTATAGACTCCAGATATAAAGATTACTGTTGACCCAGAACTTTCGGACTCTTGGTGGTGTTTACTGTTGACTCGGACCTGATAGACTTTAGGTAAGCTTAACTATAAATCTCTGACCACATAGACTCCAAGTAAGGCTTATGGTTAACCAAGACCTCATAAACTCCTGATTAGACTTACTGTAAATACAGACCTCATAGATTTCAGTCAAGGTTTACTGTAAAACCAGTCCTCATAGACTTCTTGTAAGGTTTACTATAAACCTAGGCCTTGTAGACTCCAGGTAAACTTTACTGTAAACCCAGATCTTATAAACTCCAGGTGGGGTTTACTGTTGTCTCAGACCTGATAGACTTCAGGTAAGGTTAACTGTATACTTAGACCTCATAGATTCCATGTAATGGTTGCTGTAAACCCAGTCCTTGTAGACTCGAGGTAAGGTGTAAGGTAAACCCAGAATTTACAGACTTTGGGTAAAGCTTACTGTTAACCTAGACCTCATGGACTCCAGAAAGGGCTTATTCATGTTTACTCAACCCAGTTACCTCATACATATAGACTCCAGAAAAGGCTATGTTAACTTTAAACCCAGACCTTGTAAGTCCAGGTAAGGTTCACAGTAAACTCAAACCTCATAAACTCCAGGTAAGGCTTGCTGTAAACTCAGATCTAATAGACCTCATAGACTCCAGGTAAAGTTTACTGTAATTAACCCCTACTTTTAGACTCCATCTAAGGCTTACTGTAAAGTCAGACATCATAGACTCCATCTAAGGCTTACTGTAAAGTCAGACCTCATAGACTCCATCTAAAGCTTACTGTAAACTCGGACCTCATAGACTCCATCTAAGGCTTACTGTAAACTCAGACCTCATAGACTCCATCTAAGGCTAAGTTATTTTAGGCTGGGAGGGGGCATTTACTGCTCCACCATGCTATCAAATTGCTTGTGTACATCAGAGTTTAATAAAACAATTTTCTCAAATACTAGTATACTTTGTAAATTTTTCAATAGAAAGATGTAGAATGATATACGTATGTCAGAATTCAAAATCACAATGGGAATCCTTGACAAATCTAACTTTACCCTGGCTTTAAAAACTTGCTATTCCTTGTTGTTACATTCTAAAACTTTATCTGGTGTAGAATTTCATCCAGAATCAGGGAGAGACATTTACTATATCTTTTTCTTAACACAAATTATCCACAGACAGAAACATAACATATCATCATGTGAATCAACAGTTACTATCCAGTTTTAAATAAAAGTTTTCTTTTAACAAAGGCAACTAAGACTTTTAGCAATGATGTGGAAAATGTAGAGAGATTAGAAAGCTTGATACATGATTTAAGGCTGATTTTTTTAAGCTGATGATTCTATGTCAGTTAATGGCACTCTATACAATAATTGTTCAGGAAACCCATCAAGACCAAATCTACATAAAGATAGGTGTGCTGTGAAGGTATTTGAAGAATGCATTTAAATGAGATCTCAATTTCGTACTGTGGAGTTCCTTTTATTACGTATTGTCATAATACAAAGAGTTGTGTCAGGATGTCCTAGATTGGAGATGGACTATGAAATTTATCACAGGGTTTGCAGGGATTGCCCTCTAAAGTCATTGTTTATACAGGTAGATGTTTACACATGGATGATACTAAAATGGGCAGTGTCAGTGAAATAGATTATACAGGGAGTGTCTCCAAACTGGATCACAACATTTTAAAATGGTCAAATTATTTAATGCCCTATGTACATGATATAAAACACCACTGATTTAGTTTTTATAGACAGATAGAAACTTGGAAAGTAAAAGAAAATAATTGACTTTCATTTTCCATTTATTGGTATTTTTATATACTTGATGTATATTTTTGGATATTTGGAAGATAAATCACTCATTATTTGTCAGGATTTGCCAGTTTATGTTATGTGTACTCTCTTTGACATCAGTGCTTGGTCATTCTTCCTGAACATCAGACCTGTTAAATGAAAGAAAAGAATTGTAATTCTTGCATGTATAAGCACCAACAAAATTCATATATATTAATAATTTGTATTTCAATTTTCCAAAATGGAATTAAAGTATACATTTGACTGGCATTATTTATTGCATATTTCAAAACTGTAAAAGTAATATATTTATTGTAAAGATTTATGACAAAAGGATATTTGCATTAATAGATGTCTACACTATAATTAATGACTGTTGTGTAGAATAATCCTGTTATATATCTGGATAACCTGCATTTGTTAAAAAGTATATACACTTCTATAGTACTGTAATATTCCAGTAAGGGATTCGTGTTATCTAGTGACGGTGTGTATCTTAAGATTTCACACCTGACCGCCACTGTCCACTTGACCGCTGGTTATGATAAACAACACTCATGGATTGACCGCTCAGTGATTGCCAAGTCCTTTACACCTAGCAGACCGATAATCCGTGTTTGTCAATAAAGTCATCATACCATTTAAAGTAAACACACACTTTGAAAGGGTCCCCATTATCTGTGGTTATAACATTCTGGATCATATTAAAAATGGCGCAGGGACAAGCAGGTAATGCATTGTTAATGTTACATCGTATTTCCTCAAGGGGCAAGATTGAATTTTGTCCACTCTACTGAAATTTAAAATGACACTTGATATTAATTTCAAGGGACAGGTTTATACATGTGGTTCTGTATTGATTTATCTGTATTGTTAGTGAAATTCTCCTTAACCTGTAGAACACAGGTGAAAATGACAGTGTTTACAAGGTAGACAAGTAGGGAGCCGAAAACCAATTTGTTTGTTTATGGTGGAGGTTTGTAGATCTCTCTCATGTCAGGTTAGACAGTTAGATTTTGTTAGACTACACTGATAAGCAGATGTGAAATATTTCCTTTTGGAGGTCTTTTAATGTGTAAAAAGGACAATTAGGAACTAATTTAGGTTTTCTATGAGGTACACTTTTGAATGATAATACATGTATTTTTATGATTTCTGATGGATCCCTGAAATAAATCAGTTTTTTTTTTAATATCAAATTTTAAACAGTTTACAAAGTGAAGGTTGGGTTCTTGATGACTGTTTGATTTCTATTAATTCCAGTCTAATTTCCTTTCAGTATTAGCATGACAACAGATGATTCTTTGGGAACTTCTGTGACAGTTGAAGGTTCTCTCAGTGCTTCTCACAGCCAGCAGGTGCCCCCAGATACAGAATTCGAGGAGGTTATAGACTTAAATAATAGGAACAAAACCTTAGCTAATACTGAGGATTTGCTGAATTTGAATACAGTAGAGGGTTTAGATAACCGGGACACTGGAGACGACATCATACCAAAACCAATCATCGCCTTCGAAGACAATGCAACCAGACGACAAGAAGTCACAGGTAATTGATGGAAAATAAATCAATCTAATTAGAATTAATCAAAACAATGAAGGAGGTTATTAATGCTACTAATTAGTTGACTTTTAATATCAACCTAGAATGTGTAAAAAATCTGATTGGTTTCGCGATAATCAGATAAGCAGTGATGAATAAAAGCACTAAAAATGAAACATTTATGATGAATTATAAATGTATTTGCTGTGACATAATTTGTAGACTACTTGTCCTGAGCATGCAGTGTTAACCAATGGGGTGACCATGGGGACAGATGATTCCACCAATCATCATAATGGGATTGAGTCTAGGACCCCAACAGAGAATTCCTCTTCCTCGGTCATCTTAAGCCATCATGTGACATCATCAGTGGGTAACCCTCAGAAATCACCGGCCCCCAGTCAGAGGGACATACTCTGGCAACAGCTGGAGAAAGCCATGGTGTCCAGTATTGATCGTGTCCGGTCAACACTGGAGGATCATGGGATAGGAGAGGGAGATGAGGACAGTGAATCTGAGGAGGGAAATATTTGGAGAATGGTGCAGGGGGATTCCCCTTACACCATAGAATTTGTCTGATCCATCTTTGTTTTAGATATATATGTTATGATAGAATGATGTGTGTAGAATTATGATGGTTTCATTTTTGCCAGTCTCAACATTGACAGAGTATTACATGAATTATGAAAACAATAGTGAAGCATATGATATATGATAACTAATTAAATTTTGAGATAGCAATAGGGTAGCATATGATTAAATCTTGAGGTTGGAATCTCATTAAAAGTTTCCATTTGTTAATAATGCTAAAAAAGAAGAGAAATAGATAAAAATAGTAACAAGACGATTCCCATTGATCCCCATTGTGATCCCCAGCCATCCATATGTATAGATTCACTATTTATTTCTAGTTTATTCATAGTCACATGACTGTCATGTGATATATGAATGACAATAGGTGCGGTGTGGGTTTACAGATTTTGTGATTTTTTCCCCACATTCATTGAGCATTTGCTTGCATTTGAATAGTGCATATTTATGGTATTTTTAATGTTATTGTTACTAAGTGCATCAGTTACTTTTTATGATCTTTTTTTACAGTAATTTTTTTTAAAATTTATATTGATTTATTTTTCCTATGTTGAACATAAGGAACAAACGTGAAACTGGTGTACATTTGTTGACTTCTTCCTGTATCTTACCAAGTGCTCATCTGTATAACAAACTATCATGTGTGGTATAAGTACAGAGAAAGGAGAGATATGTAATAAAGGTGAACTTGTGATATCTTCTCATTATAACAGTAATATATGTATCTTAATACTTGTATTAAACTATATTGACAGTATTTATTATAAGAAATATCTGTATCTAGTCTTGTATCCATACAGTATACAAATTACTGTTACAAAAGCTTTTAATGACCTCCCAAGCACAGGTGGTTAGTTTGGGAGCCTGCCAGTTATCAACCTCAGGACATAGATTTTTTTGTAAAATTTAATGAAGCATCTCATACCGTACTTTGAAAAATGACACAGTTTGTAATGTCTTGCGTAAAAGTTCAGCTGTTGATACATGTAAGTCATATGTGTTAACTTAATATAAATGTAAATTGTTTTAGACTAATTCTTTTAATTCTGTGAGAAAAAATCATATCTTCTAAAATTTTTGTCAAAATTTTTCTAAGCAATTCCAGCATTTCCTCCTTTCAGTTTGTTTACCTATTGCTAATGAGATGTACCAGTGACTCATGAACAAGTAACAAGCAGCAGATCTAGGCTTTCTAGGTCTCTTCTTAAGACTTTATCTAATGTTCACTCCACATCAGCTTAATTATCGGGATCCCTCTTTTTCGTTATAATTCATTTTAATTTCATTATCTCATTATTTGTAATAAGCTTATTGGTTTTTATAATGTGTCTCAGCAGAGCAGAATGGTCTCATTTGACAGTATCTCTAGATTCCAGAAGATTATAGTGCAGACAGACTCCACATTTAATATCCCACCATCTACAGGAAATAATCCCTCTCCTAAGTGTATCTATAATCTAGTCCTAATGAAAAATCCTTATACATCATATAATGACTGCGTGTCAAGAGAGACAACTCTGCCAAGATTAATTTAGCTCGCTTTGACACATTATAAATGGACCAGTCAGGGGTGATGGGCCTATCAAAGCACACCTCTAGGTCCCTTGTAGTGGTTCATATTTCGACAGAAACTAACAAGGGCCTTAACTCTTACTCATTTTTTTTTTATTTCATTGTGTGGTTATGGTGAAATAGAATGCTGGAATTGTTTGAACAGGTTAATTAAAATTGAAAGGAAATAATTGAACAAATGATTATTGACTGTCTTGACTGTGGTAACTATTTTTACAGAGTGATTAATTAAGATAATCTCGTTAACTAGCCTTGGTTTGTACAACTTTATATCTGAGCATTCATGCTGAAGCCCCAGGTTCTATGGTGGTTCTTATGTTCTATGTACTTACTGTAACTTATTTCTGTAATATGGCTATTGTACATGAATGATCTAGCTTTGCTTTTTCCTGACATCAGTTAAATGCAGAGCTAATGTGTCTTGTCACTACAAAAGATAAATAAAACACAAAGAAATTAATCTTGTTCTCTGTATTTTCATTCTGGTTTTCCGTACGAAAAATCTGGTTATTAAATGGTGGATGAGTGGATGGGCTGCTGCCAAAAGGGTACATCATTTGTCTGGATAACTCCTCCTAAGTTTTTAGGATAGGATTTTTTTTTAAATTTTGCAGATCAATTGTGCATATATATCAGATTTGATTTTGATATTTGATAATTTATGAGAAAAATAGCAGGTTTTGAAATAGGTCATTTTTATATGGCAAAATATTGCATATAGATTATAACAATTTGTCTAGATAACTCCTCCTACAGTTGATTTTAAAACCTTGTCCATAACCTTTGAGCTTTAGCTTTCATATTTCATATGTGTATTCTTTGTGACAAGACCTTTCTTTTGGGTACCCACATAATTGACCTCTTGACCTTTGAGTTTGACCTGCTTTTACAAAAGTATACCAAACTTTTACCTTGACCATAATTTTTGAGAAGTTGGTGCTAGGGCTTTCATATTTCACAGGTATATTACTTGAGACAGGAACTTTCTTTGGGTAGATCTACCAACATTTTTGATCTCTTGACCTTGGAATTTGACTTGCATTTGAGAAACTTTAACCTTTGCCATGTCAGCTGCCATATGGGGTTTCACAAACGTGTAAACTCAGACTAAGGCCATAAGATGGTCATGGGCAACAAACAATACTAAAGTTTGAAAGTTCTTGAGGTGTGATCTGCACACGTATTCACTACCAAGAGTTGTCGTTCCTGCTACGCTCCCACATACACCTCTGTCAACGCTTGTTATACAAGGTTCTTGGAAAAATTGTAAATGGTTAAAAGTTCATAATAATCGTTTTTAATTATATTTCTTATCGGAAAACATTATTTTAATTTATTACACCTTAAAACCATAGGCACTCCCCAGCTTGATTGTTAAAAATAAATATATCTACTATACTATAAACATAATGATTATAGTATAGTAGATCTATACTTCTTAACAATTAAGCTGGGGAGTGCCTATGCTTAAAACGATTTTTTAATTGAGATTTTAATTTTTACTCCGCAAAATAATTCCCTAAAAACTTCGAAAATAAGTCGTTTTGAGGGATTATAGATTTAAAATAAATGATGAATTATCATCTTTTTCGGTAATTACAATAATTAACTACTACTTAATTGAAATTTTCACCGTTTAAAATTTGTACAAGAATCTTGTACAACGAGTGTTGACAGAGGTGTTGTGAACGTAGCGGAAGACAACTCTGGATAGAGAATGGATCATGACACCTTTTAGTTCAGAGTCAGCAACATGCATGTATACATCAAGTGAATGGTTCAAGAATATGTTAAAAACTGAAAGTCATGTCTGATAGGTCATGTGGTCATTGGGCAATCAGATATTCATATTAAGGTCATGTGGGTCATAACTTTGGTACCAAGTTAAACCAGAAAGTAATTGAATGCATATTTTTTTGTCAAAAAATATTTACTTAGCAGGAGTTATCACGTATATTCCCTGGTCATATAAACACCAAATAAAATACGCTTAGACCTTCTATTTATGCTTTAAACATTTCATTATATTGCATTGTATAGTGCATTATTCTTTCACATTTTCAGTATTAAAAAGTTGCAACAATTTAAAACATTGAAAATTTTTCTAGTAAAAAGATTTAATGTATTTTTGTGATGGATTTCATCAGCAGGACAAATTCGGGCCACCTTTAAAAAAATGTTTATTTGCCCTCTCCCCATAACCTATTTTGACCCGAACAAAAACTTTTTTTAAACTCCAAGAAACGATAATTTTTTTTTCTCATCCAGTCAACAACTACTTTAATTGTATTTTGAAAATTTAGCATTGATGTTGAAAGTTTCTGAAAAAAATTCCTTCCCTACAGACCTTTTTTTTTTTTTTACCTCAAGTCGGAAGACACAATTGAGAAACATAATATAGTCTTGCTTGGTCAAAAATTCGTTGGTTGACGATGAGAAGGACAGCACATTCATTTTTTGTTTTTGTTTTCCCAACAATTCAAAAATACCTAGATTGCATAAAATATTTCTAACAATTGACATCCAATTTTTCATATTATGTATTTCAACCTAGTCATATTAAACATCGTAACAATGTTGAATAATACAATTTTTATGGTCAAGTATTTTTTTCTTCAAAACTTGATTATATTACATTGATTATATGACTGGTAAAGCAGAGGATATCGTCCTAAATTAGAATACACAGCTACATTACATGTCCTTTTTACCCCTAAATTATGTTTACAAAAATCAAGATGGAATTTCTCAATATTCTATAAGGTTTTATAAGGGAATCTTAAACTTCAGAAACATAATTTACATTACTGCCTACAAAACTGTCAAAGCAATGTCTTATGTTTCGAATATTCTTTTTTAAAACAAAAACATGTAATGATATTAGTAGGCTTTCTTACAAATACCATTTATTATGTACCAAACAAAAAGTGAATGTCATTTCATCAATTTTCATACAGAATCATCTTTGAAAAAAATATTAGATAAACGAGAAAGGTGAAGATAACGAATAGCGATTGATCTCCAAAAAAAAATCTATAAACAGTACAAATCTGTGAACAGGGCATAAATCACAAACCCCTGGAAATTCCAGAAGTGGGATCAGGTGCTTAGGAGGAGTAAGCATCCCCTGTTGACCGGTCACACCCGCCGTGAGCCCTATGTATTGATCAGGTAGACGGTACATTTCGTAGTCAAATTCAGTATAAAAGCAATTGCGTAACGATTGATATGCAGAATGTCAGCCAAAATACGACCCAATAATAGGTTATATGTGCTAACAAGGTCATTATAATAAACGGTCATAAAATTTACGAAATGCTGACTTTAAACGAGTTAGTTGAAATCTCTGTAACATCAACTTATCTGTCAGTAGCCTTCCTTGGCTTAAAAATTGATGCTCTTGAGTATCGAAAAAGTTGGGAGATGTAAACACCATATGCAGGTGACAGAGGGATATTACTCAAGTAAATAAGGAAAGTTGAAGATAGAAAAGCTGTAGTCATCTTGTTTGTTATTCAGTTTAGTTGTTAGCTGGCCCTTATCGTCTATACGTCAGCAAAACATCCAAATATGAAACAGATGTGGCAGATTCTGTAGTATCTTTTATTTCAAGTTCACTGGGATATATCGACTCGACATATGAATGGAAGTAACTATTGTTAATTGATAATGCGTCGTCGATATATATATCTAAATGTCGAGTTGAAGGCCACTTCAAGTGTTTTCTTCTTCTCATGTAGAAGTTTTTGAATAAATTCTGCTTCATGGAAGTATAAAAACAGGTCGGCTAATAAAGAAACACACTTAATGCCTCTCGAAATTCCAACAGTTTGTTGTAAGACCTAGCTGGCTCCAGGGCCATAAACCTTAGACGAGCTCACTTTTGATCTCAGTCTCACTTTTCCACTGTATATTCCTTTTATAAAAGTGAGACTGAGATCAAAAGTGAGCTCATCTAAGTTTTATGTCTCCGGGAAATGTGAAAGATCTTAAGCTTAAGTCAAAATCTTTATGTTGTACTAAAATATTTCCGACTTCTATATTTGCCGAAGAAGCAGTTGTCTATATCAAAAAGTCTAGTTTTTAAATTATCGTGAGGAATGGTTGTATAAAGTGTAGAAAAGTCGTACGCTACGATATTAATGACTTTTGGAAAAATAAAGATTTTTTTAAATTTTCTAAAATTCTTTGGAGTTTCTGAGAATCCACATCTGATTTACACCACTTCTAGAATATGCTGTAGCACAGCACTCTGAAGTCTCTAAAGTTGATATAAGATAATTTGCCTTTTGAAAGACCTTTATAAGCAATTGTGAAAACAATCTTGAAATGAATATATTGTTGCACTTCATAAAAGCAAGCGTAAAAAACCTAAACATTCAATTTTACCATTTCCCAGGAGATAACATTAAAGACTTTTGATTAGATAAAGGAAGAGATTTTTTTAACAATAAAACGATTTTCAGACAATACATATAGTATTGATTGAAACACAAATATGTACCTCCTCTTCAATAGAACGGCTACAGGATTGATTGAGTACTTATATTCAATGTAAACAATTGATTTTATATAGAAAGAAAACATCAGAATACCTGCCGTGAGGATATACAATATTTGATATACCTGTCTCTATTGTAATATTCCTAGTTTTTCCTCCAGCCAAAGTAATTCTGTCCATAGATCCACCGGATATCACGGTGGGAAAATTGCATAAAAAGCACGGCGTGTCCTTTGATGCTTTGACAATACAGGGACACAATAAAGATGTATTAAATCGTGACATTGGTCCCCCATTTTCTGTGGAGGAAATGATTAAATGCTGCTTCGGAGATTATTTCTGTTGAAATAGCGAACGCAGTATGTGAATTTACAGGCATAGCTCTTTGATGACAGGAAAACGCATGCATAATGTAAGTATATACTTTGTATAAATGCTATATAGGTATGATTTTCACTGAAATTTCATTATTTTTTTTTTGTTAAAAGCAAATGTTTAAGAATCTTTGATTGAAAAAAAAATAATCATAAAAAATGCATTTACTGAACCTTTTGCAAGTATATAAAACACATAAGATTAAGGTCTTTCAAATACACAAAAACCCATCCTTTTTTTGTAGAGAGAGAGACCACGTGACCTAATGGAGGCAGAATTCTATCCTTGAAGAAGACAATAGATCCTACAAAAGAGATGTACATTTCTATTTAATTGTGTAATTTTGTTCTGCTCGGGGCCATAGATACCTTCGTGTGTTTTAAAAGTTTAATAAAGACAGTGCATTTTAAATGAAGTATTGTCACACGGAGATATCTTAAGTCGGAAAAAAATACTTAACTTTATTATTTCTGAAATTACGTATACAGACAATAAATGTAGAAATGTCGGCATTGGATCACAAAGTCAGGTGAACCAAAGTTTAAAACACATTAACGATTTAAGCTTTGTTGTTTTAAGACAAACATTAATTTCATTATGAACTTTCTTCCACAGAAACCAGAGTGAAGGCCGAGATTTCTACTTAGTGATTCTTTAACTTTACGGACTGTCGTTTTAACCTCTGGAAAAAGTAAATATTGAAGGGATTAGTATGAGAACGGCGGTGGACATTAAAAACTTTATAAATGTTTATGAAATCTGATTTTTTAAAAAATCAGAGCATCTGCGTAAGAAGTGTTGGCTGATCGGTAAAGGATACTCGAAAGTTTATTAAAATGTTTATTTAGTGTTATTCTCCGTCAATGGACTTTTGAATACACAACCAAGTCCCGGACTCCTCGGTCAGAAAGGACTGTTTGTAGAACAGCTATAGAACTGAGGAGCAAATAGACAGTATGAATTCTGACCAATCTGGAATGTTTCATGCAATAAGTTTGTTAAATGATAATATCCCTATAGGGATAAAATCCACAATCGATGATATGACGGATTAGAGCGCCAAATAACACATGACATTGGAATCCCTCGAGATTGATAACTGAAAGTCAAGATTTTCTCCATTGACTGCGAAAAGACGTGTAAGACAAGAGGGCATTGCTTCTTTTCTTAAAGAACACATGTTTGTGTTTTTAATAAACCAAAGAAAAAATATTGGTTGTTTAAACATTGTTGCAAACCCTAGATTGTGATAAAGTTTGATTAAAAATCTGCCAGGGAAACCATGAGGTCCAATATTGTGTCTCGACCCACCACCACGCAGATCTCGGAGTACGGGTCTCTGGGATCCACGAGGACAAAGACGTGGCAATCCTCAATGGAAATTCTTAACAAGAAAAAGCAGGCAAAATCAGACATCTTTCATGCTGAATACGACCAGAAATTATTGAGACTCAAAGCAATGTTAATGTTAGATAACCAGACAGAGAACGAAGCGAAGGCAAGTAAACTAAACAGAACCGAACAGACTGAACTAAACACTGTGAAATCTCAAGTTTGGAAAGAAAGTCTCAGTTACGAGAGACAGTACAGCCAAAGTGTGCGCCAGTTCCGGGCCCATTCTGCCCGTGTGTTCCGTAATGCTCCAATCAGTGGATTCCAAAGATCCCCGACCCTGGAATCATTTCCGAGGGAAAAGTTGTTGCAGCGTCGGAAGTCTCAAAACCGAGACACTTTAACTCCTAGCCACTGTGTGACTTGTGGACAAATCCAAGGAGTCATTAGAGCCTACGAAAAGGAAACGACATATAGTAGTGATTTCAGGAACAGTTCAGAAAAAGACGAATCCAGGGTTCATCAAACTGTATGTCTTTTCAATGACAGACAAATGAAAACGTTTATCCATTCTCTAGAGACGGAATACTGCAGTGGAATGCCGGATGTAACTCAAATGATTCAGGATTCTAAATTCTACCTCCAACAAAATCCAGCAGATACAGGCAGGATCAGACCGCAATCATACCCGATGGAGATGATAAGGTTAAAAGACAGAGTAACAACATTTTGCAGAAGTCAGGATAAATTTAATAAACAACATCCGATACCCGGATGTGTGAAAATGGAGACGGACAAAGCCAGGATAGATCTGGCTGTATCAATCAGAAAACGGCGGTAAGCGCCCTCTGTGTGCAAAACAATCATATCCCCATTTTAGGAAAACTATTGTGAGATTGCGACTTCAACAGTAATTTATCATATGGATTAAAGTCACTCTCATTTGTCAATTTTGCCTACATTAATTTTGTGAGGAAGAATGGCCTATAACCTGTATTTTTTGTATGACTATTTTCTTATTTGTAATACTGAAATTAAGACCCTTCTCTACTGCGGTTTCATCATTTTTCGTGGAACACCAATTTTCGTGGATTTCGTTGTTGAGTCAATCCACGAAATCAAATGTTCGTCGAAGTTTGGTGCCTACATTCTGATTTTATGATAAACCGTTAAAAAGCGTTAATATATGAGAAGCTTCCCCTCTTTTTTTCCCACCGATGCTAACAAGTGAATCTGTAGAGGTTCCAGCGCACGTGCATCGTGTGTTTTCAAGAATTTTCTTATAACAGCCAGTTGACACTACGTACATGTACCTTGTGCAGCAATTTGTTTATTTATTGATGCTATCATGATTATTTTATGTTTTCCTTCTTACATTAAAACTACATTAAAATGTATATTCCACACGGGGGTTATTTAAATGAGTTTCATATCTAGAATTTCTTTTGTTCGTGTCACTTTGTGCATTGTTCTTCTAAACGTACTTAACATATACATGTAAGATTTGTTTGAAATGTGTTAATGTACACAACTAATAATTTATTGAAATGAATGTTTGATCATTCAATCTACCACATTCCCAATGTTTTTATTAACTTGGAATTAAATTTGATTTATTTGATTAAAACATTGAGAGCTAGTTGTTCTGCCCTATAATGTTTGTAAGGAAAAATGGTGATGCATTTTTTGGGTCAATTTTTGTAGTAGATATATATGTATGATACTAGCTTAATGATTATAATCGACAAAATTGTCTAGACACAACTAATTTAATGAAGCCTTGCTCCAGCTACCTGGCGAAAGAGGGTAGCAAGACAATAAAAACTTTTCAACATTAATTCCATTTCACTGCACACAACAAGAATGCCTCTGAGATGAACAATAGAGGATAAAGGACAATCATTTACTGATTTTTATTTGAAAATTATAGTTGTGTACTTATTTTACTTCTCAAATATAAATCAGTAATCGACAGAAATGCAACACCACCATAAAGGTTAATTCAGAATGGAAATTGAGGATATGGAATAAATAAGATAAAGCCTAGAAAAACTCGATTCGAATTTTATTTTTTAGATTGCAATCTGAGAGAAAGAATCTATAAATATAGAGGAAATGACACAAAATTAAGAATTTAAATTTACGCATTAACAAAAATTTACACAATAAAAAAATACAAATCCTACTTTAGTCTCATTCACATATTTTTAATTGACCCTTTTTTGCTGAAGCCTCACAAACGCACGAAGAGAATACCGGATATTATACGAGCACAAAGATAAAAACACACACACACACACACACACCCACCCACACAAATATTCATCTTCACACCAAATAAACTTGGAAGGGATATACAATAAATTTAGCACTAGTCTTGCTTCCCTATTTTTACAATTTAAGTCAAATCTCAAAACTATAGCTTTAATATTACAAACAAAGAGTGAATAGCAAGGCGATTTTGGGACTATTTAAATTTCGACAGTATGTCGTTCACAAAACTGACTGTTATGAATACGAATACATTAGAATTGTTACAAGGAAATAAAATTGCATAACGGCAAAAAGACAATGGAGCTAAGAAAGGGCGAACCACAAGAACAGAAATCAAGTGAAATATCAGAAAAATGTAAGTCAATAGAAAGACAGAGGAAAGAAAATCAGAACAAAGTTTAAGAAAAAATGCTTCAGATTGGACGACTAAGTTTGATTATGAGATGAATGAACCCTCGCTTTTGCGTCACATTTTATTTTGTGTTTACCAGAACAGTTTGTCTAAGCACAGCCCTAGAAACTTACGAGAACAAGTGAAGATTTGGCAAACAGCAGCACCACACGAACATTGAAAATGTAAGATAGATTTACATTTTTAAGCAAATGTTTAAAAGTTACGAACCCATGATAATGATGGAAATAAGACCTTTAAAGGCAGTAATGTAAAATGATACTGAGGTAAATCTAAGACAAATGATTATTAGCCTCGGTGTTTGTTTTCCTTTGTTCTTTAATTACTGTCGCGAGGAGCCATTAAGCCTTACATTTAGAAATGATATAATAATGGCTGATTGGTTTGAAAAACGTCAATATTTTTTGTTTGCACACCGTGGAAACAAGTCGAACTTCGTGAACTTGTAGAACAAACATAAACCTGCTGATGTTCCTATTTGTAAGGATCTAAGCTGCTTGAACTTGTATCTAGTGCTGGCGATGTTTCTTTTTGTAATTATGCTTCTTGAAGTCGTGTTCAGAACTTATGATGTTCTCATTTTGAAATAGTCTAAGCTGCATAAACTCATGTCTAAAGCTAGTTGTATTCTTATTTGTAATGATCTAAGTGTATTCCTATTTGTAATGATCTAAGTCGTGTTCAGAGCTAATGATCTTCTTATTCTGTTATAATCTAACTTCTTTGAACCCCTGTCTATTCCTAGTTATATTCCAATTTGTAATGAGAGAACCTTCTTGAATTCGTGTATTTTAAACGTCTTTCTGGTGGCGATGTTCCTATATGTAATTGTCTAAGCTCCTTAATCTCGTAGCTATTGCTGATGACGTTCCTATTCGTAATGATCTAAGCTCCTTGAGCTTGTGTCTAGTGTTGATGTTGTTTCTATATGTAATGGTTAAGTCTCCTTCGTCTTTTAACTAATGCTGGCGATGTTCCTTTTTTTCTCATTATCAATTGTGTTTCATCACTTCCGCGCAATTGTTCTTTTTTCGGTATCATAACATGGTATGAAACACTTAGGATGATTCTGATTGGCTGCTTCTACCTAAAATGATTCTAATTTTCTTCTTTTCAGGGTCTGCTCTCCAAGTTTATACCCATGATGGCATAAAATGCAGGTACAGTGTATGTTCGTAAACATCTATGGTTATTTTTTGATATTCTTTGACCATTTCCCTTTCATATTTCATTTCAACAGATCATCGATGTAGATTACCAGGAACGTATACCAACGGGATAAGCAACATATTCAGCGCCTGTTTATTTCCAAAAATACAAATCCATGTTTGTTTAATTGAAGAAACAGGTCCCATAACTAGCGCTCGTTAGTAACCAGTTTTCTCAAACTTTTCTTAATTTTCACGAGACACTCTGCAAGCCTGGTGTCTCTTTAAAATAAAAAGAAAAATAAATTAAAGAAACCTGAGTTTAAGACAAACCGGTTACTAACTCTCGCTGGTTATGGAACCTTTATATATATGTAATCTAATCTCCTTAAACTGGTCTAGTTCTGGCGATGTTTCTATTAAATGGTCTAGTCTCCCTGAACTCGTGTTGTCTAGTGTAGTGCTGGTGATGTGTCTATTTGTAATGATTTGAGCATTTTGAATTCTAGTGCTTGTAATCTTCGTATTTTTGATGATCTTAGCTCCTTGAACTTGTGTTCAGAGTTTATGATGTTCTTACTTTGTAATAGTCTGACCGCCTTGAACTTGTGTTCAGAGCTTATGATATTCTTATTTTGTAATAGTCTAAGCTCCTTGAACTTGTTTCAGAGCTTGTGATGTTCTTATTTTCTAATAGTCTAAGCTCTTTGAACTCATGTCCTTTTTTTTCTCTTAGGTAATAGGTTGTGATTTATCTATAGAACGAGCAAAAGACTGGCCTAAATATTTGACAATAGATAAAATGTGTACAAACCAGGAGGATAAATCGTTCAGCCAATTTATTAAAAACCACTTGTGATATTTATTTGATTATATGAAGAGTGTTTGTTATGCTGAACACTGAAGTATTTGTCTATATGTGTATTTTATTGAAGTCCTCAAACATATTGTGTTAGCTTGCTTCTTTAAACACAATAGAGCACTTAACAATGCAACATGACACAATGCAAGCACTTAAACCCCTGAAAACTTAAAATTGTTACATGAAAGTTGTGATTTTATTCAAAGCAAACTTGTTCCACGGTGTTATTTATTAACCTGGACCCAATACTTTCTATGGGAAGAGAACCCAAAAGCGGACGATAGAATATTTCAATTTAGATTTACAATCATATATCCGTTTGAAAGTAACTGTTCAAATCATCCTGATTTCAATCTTTAAATAGATAGATATATTTCATATCCACGAATTAATTACTGTAAATTGAGTACATGTTAGTATTCATTTACTGAATTTTAGTTTGCTAAAAAAAAAAATATATATATATATATATGGTGCATTGTGAGGTGAATAGATTACTAACTTGCCAGCTAATAATATGAAATTATTACATTTTTCGGTGAGGATCTAAAAGGTGAAGATAACAAACAGTGACCAATCTTTTAAATCCAGTAACAAAACGAATCGTGAGAAGGACCCCCCCCCCCCCCCTGGAAACACCAGGCTGAAATCACGTGCCTATGAGGAGTAAGGGTCCCCTGTTAACCGGTTAAACCCGCCGTAAACCCCATGTATTGATAGGGTAGACTGACTACTCCGTAGTTAAATTAAGTAAAGAGGCAATGATCTTACAAATGGTGTGAATCATGTCAGACAAAATTAAACCCAACGAAAGTCTGTATTTACAAACAAGGTCTTATAGCGATCGTAGAATTTGCCAACAGCTGACTTCAAACGGGGTTGTCCAAATCCTTGTAACATAAACTTTGTCAATAGCTTGCCTTGGTTAATAGTCTAAGCTATTGTTCGTACTCAGAGCATGCTCTTGTGTATCGAATCAATTAGGAGACATAAACACCATATGCAAGTGATGTTTGAATATTACTACATAATTAAGGGAAGTTGACAATGGAAAAGCTGAAGTCGTCCCGTTTGTCATAAACGTTAGCCGTTTGTCATAAACGTTAGTTGCTAGTTGGCCATTATCGTAATCAGTAAAACATCCA